ACGGAAAATGAGTTATTGTGTCTGGAAGCCAAATGTTAAATAATATGGAGAAAAATCATTATACAAAACGATAGATGCTAGCAGTCGTTCACTTAGTCTGGTACTCCCAGTATTATTTACTAGGACGTAAGTCTGTTATTAGGACTGATCATAAGGCCTTAATATGAATACAGAACTTTACAGATCTGGATGGGCGGATAGCTTTATAATGAGAGTGCCTGCAAGAATATGATTACGAATGCATCCATCGGCTCGGCAGACGGCATCGAAAGTGGGCGTATTATCATGCAGAGCAAATTAACGGCATGGAAATTGTCCTTCGTGCGTCACACCAACGACGAATATAATAGAGCTGAAAATTATGGGATATATTGAATGGGCACATATCTAGATAATAGACCCGAAAACTTTAATGGAGTATAAACCGTTGAAAACTAGCATTCCTGGCTATTTTCAGAAGAAATTCAAGTTATGAGTTTGTATGGTATCTGTGTATGATTCGTGTAGAAATTCGTAGTAATAATGGATGGAGTATTATATTTTCGTTACAAACCGTACTGTTTGAGATAAGCTGAGGTTTCGTAGTCTATGGTTTGTAATGTCTTGGGAAAATTACATGTGGTTTAGGGTCATAGAGGCCAAAACAAAATGATGCGGGCCGTCAAAAGTAGATACTGATGGCCAGAACAAAGGGAGATATACGAAACTGTGTTAGATCTTGTAAGATATATCAAATTACAGGGATGACTCGCGTGCATCATTAGTAAACATGAAACCAGGTCAGTAGAACGAGAAAGTGTGGATTGATATTAGTGTGTCATTAGGGAAATGAACCTAGGGAATTAATACATTTTAGTTATTGTTGACCACATTGCAAAGTGACGAGGTGTGATCCCTCTAGAAACTGTCAACTCTCAGACTGTAGCTAAAGCGTTACTTGACATATGGGTCTCTCGTTGGCATGCATTAGTTCAGTTGAATTCGGATAAGGGTATCAAATTTTAAGGCACGCTTTTTCAGGGTTTATGTCAAGCGCCTACATTGACTTCAGCGATGCTTTTGAAAAGTTTCTTATAGCCAACGGTTATATAAATTGGGAAATGTTGGGGTTAAAGGCAGTTTGTTAGTGTGGATAAAATACTTCCTATTTGGGCTGAGAAACTGTGCTTAGCGGAGTGATACAGGGTACAGTTTCGGGGCCGATGTTATTATCCTTGTATGCAAATAACGTTCCTCATCTCCTGACTTCACTGGTATTACTATATGCCGACGATGTCAAGATGTTACCTGCTTACGCCTGTTACTCCTAATGGAGCATAGGACGACGAATAGCATTCTACAACCCACTCTGTCCTAGGCTTTCTTTCCTAGTTCCATTCAATTGTTGTTCATTCTCATGTCTCTTCTCCTCTGACGTTGAGTATTTCAAATGGCGGTTTTCCTAGTGACACAGGTACTGACCTCAATGTGTGTCTCATTCACTTCCAGCACTTCTTCCTGATTTCTTCCTACACTGGAATCGGGTTTGTTCTGTCCCACAACAGTAGGTTGTTGTTGATAGTGTCTGGTCAACGGATCTGAAGTATATTGCATAGATCATTGTTAATAGACACTTGTATCTTCTGAACGGTAGCTTTCGTAGTTCTCCAGGTTTTCGCCTCATACAGTAGAACTGTCTTGACATTTGTATTGAAAATTCTGAATTTGGTGTTGGTTGCCAATTGTTTTGAGTTCCAGATGTTGTTCAATTGTAAATGTGCTGCTCTTGATTTGCCAATCCGTGCCTTCACATCTGCATCAGATCCACCGTGTTCATCGATGATGCTGCCCAAATATGTAAAGGTTTGTACATCTTCCAAATTTTCTCCGTCAATTGTGATTGGATTGTTACATGCTGTGTTGTATCGAATAATCTTGCTTTTCCCTTTGTGTATATTGAGACCTATTGCTGCTGAGGCTGCAGCTACATTGGTTGTCTTCTCCTGCATTTGTTGTTGCGTATGCGATAGAAGAGCCAGATCATCTGCGAAGTCTAGATCATCCAATTGCATCCTAGCTATCCACTGTATCCCGTGCTTCCCTTCAGATGTTGACGTCTTCATGATCCAGTCGATCACCAGGAGAAAGAGAAAGGGTGAGAGTAAGCAACCTTGCCTGACACCGGTCTTTACTTCGAACGACTTTGTCAACTGTCCTCCATGAAAGATATTGCAGTTTAATCCATCATTGGAATTCTGTATGATATTGACTAACTTCTAAGGCACGCCGTAGTGTCGAAGAAGCTTCTATAGTATTGTTCCGTCCACGTTATCAAATGCTTTTTCGTAGTCAATGAAGTTGATATATAATGATGAATTCCATTCAATTGATTGTTCCACAATGATCCGTAGAGTTGCGATTTTGTCTGTTCACGATCTATCCTTACGGAATCCTGCCTGTTGGTCGCGAAGTTGTGCGTCTACGGAGTCCTTCATCCTGTTTAACAATACCCTGTTGAAGACTTTTCCTAGTATTGAGAGAAGAGTGATTCCCCTAAAGTTGTCACAGTTGCTGAGATCGGCTTTCGTTGGTATTTTGACCAGAAGCCCTTCCTTCCAGTCTTTCGGTACCTGTTCCTCATTGCAAAACTTTCTGAAGAGAGTTTGGAGTATCCTTGCAGTTACCGTCACGTCTGCTTTCAGTGCATTTGCTGGAATGCTTTGACACTCCTGATTTGTCTGACAGCCATGCTGGTCTCTCCAAATGTTGGTGGGCCAACATCAACCGGGAGGTCCATGGGCGCTGCTTCGATGTTGGGTGGGTTCAGTGGGGCTGGTCTATTCAAGAGTTCTTTGAAGTGTTCTACCCACCTGTTTCGTTGTTCTTCAATGTTGGTGATTATCTCGCCTGCCTTGCTTTTCACTGGTCGTTCTGGTTTACAGTGATTTCCAGAGTTTCTTTGTTGTGTCATACAGTTTTCTCATGTTTCCTTCTCTGGCAGCCTTTTCCGCCGTCAATGCTAAATCCTCCATATATTTACGTTTGTCAGTTTTGATGCTCCTTTCCACCTGCTTGTTTAATTCTGTGTATTCGGCTTGTGTCTTGGCTTCTTCTGCTCTTGTTCGGCTGGTATTGAATGCTGCCTTCTTGTTCCTCCTTTCTTGAATCTTATCCAGCGTATCAACCGTGATCCAATCCTTGTGATGGTGCTTCTTTTGGCCCAGAACCCCATGACATGTTGAAGTGATTGCCTCTTTTATCTTTTTCCAGTTGTTCTCCATAGTAGTTCCTTCTTCATTGAGTAGATCATGAAAGGCCTGGAACTTAGTGCTGACGACTATCTTGCATTTGTTGAGTTTGTCATTATCCCGAAGAAGAGATGTATTAAACTTTTGTGCTGTTGTCCGCCCAATCGCCCGTTGCTTCTTGAGTTTCAATTTCATCTTGGCAACCAGCAAGTGATGATTTGATGCTATATCAGCTCCTCTTTTGGTTCTCACGTCCTCCTGAACTTTTTATTGATGCAGATAAGGTCGATTTGGTTTTGCGCAGTATGATCTGGTGAAGTCCATGTGGTTTTGTGGATGCGTTTATGTGGGAATATAGTGCCACCTATGACCATCTCTCACCAGTTTAATCTCTTTCTTCTAATTCATTTCGTCCTATGATGTCTTCATATCCGATGTTGTCCATTTCAACCTTGGTATTTAGGTCTCCCATCAGAATGGTCAAGTTCTTTGTCGGGCACTTCTCGACGATTGAGTGTAGCCTACAGTAGAACTGATCTTTAACGTCTTCATTTCAGTCGTTGGTAGGCGCATAGCATCTGATGACGTTCATTGAAATGCCCCATTTCTTTGTTTTGAAGGAGGCTTTGGTGATTCTTGGTCCATGAGATTCACATCCTATAAATTCAGCTTGTGTTTGTTTTGATAACATCAATGCAACTCCTTGTATATGTGGGGCATTTTCTTATTTATGGCCGTAGTATAACAGAAGCTCCCCTGAAGCTAGTCTTTGTTGTCCAACCTGCGTTCCACTGATTCCAAGCATCTCCAGGTTGCATCTTTTCATTAATTCAGCAATTTAGATGACTCTCCCGGACTCCTACATTGATTTAGTATTCCACATACCTAAATTAATGGTTGCCCTGATTGTCAGAAGGAGTATCAGCCTCGCGGCTTCCTAAGGAGCTCGGCTTTCACCATGAAGCGTTATAACTTTTCTAAATGAGTGCCTCCTAACTCCCAGGATAGAGTTTAAATGGTTTGAATTATTATTTCTGGTTAGAATTTTTTAGCGAGTTAGTTTTCTTTCAAATGGGGTCGCTAACCGCATACTCAATCATCCTCCTTTATCCGGACTTCGGACCGACGATTTCAAGACATGTAGAGCAATATAGAATAAAAAACGTAGATTAGAGTTTCAAAATAACCTGAAGAAATTTTCCTAAGTGGTCTCATACTTGCAGTTGCCGATATATGCTTCCAAGTGCATCGCGATGCATATTAATCATCGAGGTACAGATACATACACGATGGATAATAGTGCGATACCTGTTGTCCAAACACGTCATGTATACAGCATTCTTGAGTCCTAAACTTGATTACTGCATACAAGCCGATAGCCCCTGATTAAGAAGAGACAGAGAGTTCCTGGAAAAGGTGCATAGAAACGCAACTAAGCTGGTTACCGGAATAGCGAAGCTCTCATTCGATGTCTGATTGGCCAGACTAAACCTATTCCTATTGTCATGTCGAAGAACCAGAGGTGACTTGATTACAGTTTTCAAATTACTAAGTGATAAATTTGCATATGATGTGCTGCCGTTTTTGATGTCTTCCAAAACAGACCATTTGCGAGAACACTCCAGTAAGAAACCAACGCTGCCAGGAATAACACATGAGACCTAGCATCCTATCCTTTCCAAACTGAAGCAGAATAACTGTTGACAAAAACACTGGACATTGAAGCTAGGCTCACTGTTTGAAGGTGGTTGAGACGTCAGTTTTACTCTAGATATGCAGTCAAATATCGAGCGTTCTGAAACTGGAAGGCGAGTGAGCTATTCCAGAGCTGAAATTTTAGCTCTCTACGACTGCGGGAAGTCCATTACATTACAGAACGATGCGATTAAAAAACCTCAAGTAAGTTACTGTTCAGCGCTCGATCAACTTATTTTTGTCTCATTTTTACCTGTCGTACCGTTTCTAGTGCTTTAGTATATTAGCTGGGATTTGGAACAATGATGTCAGTAGTCTGTCAATCGACATCATAAACAAAGTCATTACCTAATCATTTACCCTATTCATTTGATCCCCAATCCCCCTATTTGAGGGGAAATTTTGTCCGTTTCGGGTCAACTTTGGGAAGGTGCAATAGAAAATTTTGGGAAAATGGTACAAACCCCCCAAAAGTTACCCGAGTCCTGGAAAAATCCCCAAAATATTTGGGGAAAATTTGGGTTTTTCTTAATATTTCCCCAGAATCTTATAACACTGGAATTTTCCCCCAAAGTTTGGGGAAAAACCCCAAATTCCCAAAAATATGGAGATTGGGTATGATCGTAGTATTTGATTACTTGTATGTTCAGAGTGGCAGCAATATCCATGTCATTCACTAAAAGCTTATTTTCAGTTATCTCTCCTAAGGCCCTCATTTTATATAGTTTTTGTCCCCTAGACTTTCGAGCAGCTCATTTTATGACTAGTTCGAATTATTACAAAAGCGGAAGTTAGTTTATTACACAACATCATCAAAAAATAGTTTCATGTGACATCTGTTGGTTGACTTTCGTTTACTTGATTGGATCTTAATTAGATCAAATGTGGCTCTGAATAAGACCTCTTAGTGGTCCTACTGTAGATTCTCTAACATAATCTCGATAAAAGATACAAACTAACAAAAGTCATCTTCGTCGTTTTCTTTTAATGAGGTTGTACTTTTTAGGGTGTAGTGTTGTTAGTTAATTGCTTGGTTATACGACCCTTCACTACTTTTTATAACATCATTCCGGTTTCTGTGGCGTCGTCTTGTGTTGTATTATGCTAATATCATATTGTATTACAAATAAAAAATACATATTTCTATTAGTAACCAATTCCTCATCTTTCATGCGTAACGAATACTGATAACTAAAACTACCTAATATTGTGTATCATCTTTCATAGACTGGGACCCGTGGTATGTCAACTTCACAAATAATTATTTGGTTTTAAATTTAGCACCTCGATCTAAACCCCAAAGAAAAAAGACTAGTTATTCACAGTCAAGCGATGGAGACGCCCAAAAGTATGTGAATGTTCATCTATATGTTCATATCTGTTTTTCAGTTCGTATTTTTAGTGTTGTCATTTTGCCATACTACCGCTGTCACTCGGTGTACAGCTTATTGGAATGCGAATGTAGTTTTCTTATTTTAGAAAGTATACGGATGAATAGTATCTTCATTCATATATGTGAACTAGAATAGTCAATACCATCATTAGGATAACGTGGAATTAATTCTTCTGTTAGTGTTGAAGACTTCCAACTACTGAACCATGGTGAACATACATTGTGTAAACAGTTTAGAACTTCAAATTACCATTGTATCACACTAGAAGGTTGGTGTTTTCCATACAATTTGGGAACTCCTTATTGCAATTTGAGAAAATTATTTTGATAAAGCTCATATAATTACACTTTTTGTCGAGTTTTGCATTAACATAAATAAAGCTAGATTAACCCGTTCACCAAGTACTTGGGTATGAGTCACGCCCTAAATATGAGGGCGAATGTCACTACTCATTTACCCAAACTAAAGTAGATCGAGCGGAATTCGAACTTGGAACTTAGTGACCTGGAGTGGGATGTCTTAATCATAGACCACTACTTGTACTAACATCAGAAGTAATAACTAAACGGTTTATTAGCTCTGTCTACTAGTAACTCTGTCTTCAATGTTGCCCGAGTTATATGGTTAGCCACACGTTAATAAAAATACACTTTGGGAATCCAGATATTAAATAAAATTATTGATGATGGTTTTATCAACATTTACAAGTTGTGGAAGTTGGTTGTATAAACTTTATGTTAATGGTTCTGAGTTTTCCAGTGTTTCCTACTTTTTAAACCTTACTTTTGAGACTGAATATTCACAAATCAACAGGATATATTTTCTAGGGCCAAATTTTCTCTGTGATGAAGTGATGTATGGTGAGCCAATCGACTCATCCGTCAGATTACATTTGTATTGACCAAACTCCTGGTTTCTTTGGTCAAGCTGTAGGATTGAAGAACGTATGAGATGTATAATTAACTGTGATTCACTCTTAAGGTGTCTCCATTCCTACTTATTCAAGTCTTTATTATCACAGAATCTGCTATGTCACGGAACAGCATTAAAAATACTGGTTGTATGTGAGGACCACTTTGCCACTGAGACATGGTATAATCAGCAATAAAACTTCTTTAAACTGAAAACTGGCGTCATTCATACTTATCTCCACCTACCGGACCGTCGGTGCTACCTTGATGTGGTGGTCGAGCTTGCCTATCGTGATGAAGCAATCGAGCTATACTGACTGGAACAATCGTTCCTCATGGTCCTACTATGCCAGACAGGTCGGTTGAAGAGCGGTAAGACTAAAAGCAACAAACCCAAGGTCCGAAGGCGAAGTCGTACTGCTGACTGTACAAAGGTGTAACGGCAGTAAGGTGTTTCCTTCAGACAACCAGCATAATAGAGATGCCGCCTTCCCACTAGGAGGTGTATAGTTAGAAAAAGTCAACCCTAAAAATTCACACCTCACCTTATACCACGGATATCCGTCTACGGTGGTAAGGTCTCCACAAGTACGGAGCTAACACGAAACTTAATTTATTATTTATTCATTTTAACACATAGATATTGGTACCAGGAGGCACCAAATACATATGCACCACACAAATCTCATTCGATATGTGTGAGGGCTATGATACTGCCCGGGTGCCCAAACCAAACCAGGTGGTTTTCTTAGGAGGCCACACCCGGGGCCTTCGACCCGGTCTGATCCACAAGGCAGTGGAGCATCGCAAGGAGATGCAGTCTCATGGTAGCCGGTCGCCAACGATTGGTTCATATGTCATTTGTTCCCTCAGAATACTGGAGCCAGCCCATGTGCACCATTGGTTTGGGATCCGGTTAAAGCGCCGGAAATTCGCTTTTCGTCCTCTCAATTTCGTAAACAACAGTAATGCCACGAGAAGGCAGTGAGTAGGACTTCCCTGGCAGGGGCTATATACGCGTGTCCATGTGAGAGCATTTTGAGAGGGAGAGCGGACTCTCCTCACTCTCGGCCATACCAGGGCATTCGGGGACAACACAAAACTTACTCGCAAAAATGTCGTGTGTGACCGACCTCAAGCAGTTGTCCGTTAGGCACTGCGGTCACGCTCTCAGGTCACAGACCACCTTTAATCCAATTTCCTCTTCAGGTACCTCCAGAAGAACCCTTCCGCGGTGTGGGCAACCGTGAAGTGATAACCGCACTCATAGCTCTAACAGCACTCAAGACCACTGTATTCATAATCAACCTCCCTCTTCTCCACTCAACACGTCTAGCTCTGTGGAAGCTCAAGGATAAAGTGTTACAAGTAGATTGTTGTTGATGGTACCTAGTCAACGGACATTGAGTATCTTGTGTAGACAATTGTTTACAAGTACTTGTACTCTCTTGATGATGGTTTTGGTAGTTCTTCTTCTGTATCACATCCTCCTTGTTTATCGATGCTGCTGCTCAGATATGTGAGAGTTTCCACCTGTTCCACAGCTTCTCCATCAAGTGAGATTGGGTTGGTGTTCTCTATGTTGTACCTGAGGATATCGGTCTTTCACTATGTATATTGTGGTCTACTGCTGTAGAGGCTGCTGCCACACTGACTGTTTTCACCTGGATTTGTTGAGGTGTAGGGGATAGAAGAGCTAGGTGATTAACCAAGTCCAAATCGTCTAGTTGTATACAACCCGTCCATTGTATTCCGTGCTTCCCATGAGGTGTGGAGGTCTTCATAATCGAGTAGACCGCCACCAGTATAAAGAGGAACGGTGAGAGTAAGGAACCTTGTCTGACACTGGTCATCACTTGGAATGCATCTGTGATCTGTCCTCCATACACGACTTTTCAGAGTAGTCCATCATAAGAATTGATGAGTCAATTAAAGCCTGTCAACATGTTTTGATAATCTTCTCAGGTACTCCATAGTATTGAAGATGGTCCCATAATGTTCTGCTATTTGCAGTGTCAGGTGCTTTCTCATAGTCAAGGCAGTTGATGAATAGTGCTGAGTTCCATTCAAATGACCGTTCACCAGCGTGTTCTTCAAAATGTTCTACCCTGTTCTTGAATCTCAGTGATTGTCTCTGTGTAATCAGATTAATATCAAGCATAACCGTTCGATACACAAACCATTTTACTTACGAATTCATATCTCTTTTTTGTATTATTGTTAGTCATGGATTACCACTGATTTACTGTACACCAATCAGTATTCTTTTTAGACAATTCATACATAACAATTTAAGTGAAATGATCTTTAAGATTCCTCAATAGAATAAAATGTTTCGACTAGAACCATTTGCAAGCTAATGTATTTGAATTTCAGGTATTGTACCTGAACTGATGTGAGTAGAATGGCGTCCAAACCCACAACCTATTTGTATAATGGGGTGATTTACTTAACCAACCCCGAAATCCACTCCATTGTTGAGATATTTATCAACCTACCAGGGAAGAACTACACAGTTTTCTCGCAGCATTACTGTTGTTTACAGAATTGAGAGGACGAAAGGCGAATGTCCAGCGCTTTAACTGGGTTTGTAGATACAGAGGATCCACATAGGAGAGTTGAAAAACCCTCATTCCAAACCAATAGTCCACATAGAATTTAGGAGCATAAGGAAACAAATGGCGTATGAACCAATTATTGGTCACCGGCTACCATGAGACTTCATCTCCTGACGTTGCTCTACTACCTTGTGAATCAGACCTTTTGGTCGAAGGTCCCGGGTGTGGCCTTCTAAGAAAACCACCCCGCACTCGCATAAATGGAATGCTTTATATGGCGCATATCTGTTTGGTGCCCGTTTGTACCAATATTTATGTGTTCAAATAAATAATGTTTCTAAAAATTGCGGGCAATTTACTGTTGTATTATTATTCTAACCTATTCGTATCAATTGGTTCATCTAATGTTTCTTTGTTCCCGTTAGCATTGTTCCTCGTAATAACTTCGAAATACCTGTTACAGTTCATTGTCTTGCTAGCTACTCAATCAGTCATTTTTTTCATCAAAAAGTACTTTGTTAAATATATTCAGTTGTTGAGATAATGGTTTGCTAATAATTAGTAGTCAGCTGAATCATATTCCTATGTTAATTCTCATACTACTTTTGTGTTATAGAACTCATGGTAGTAGTGGTGAGGATCTAACTACTCAAGAAGTTGATCCTAATACCCATGGCTGGCATCGTATGAACCGTTACGCCGGGCATGCACAATCGGGTAGTTCTTCACACCATCCTCATCAGAGATATCCAAGTGGACCAACTGGGGACGTCGATCCTTCAATTCCCGTTTCCCAAGCTAATGGTCCCTTGCGTCCCACCAATGAGACAAAAAGAGGAGGGCATGGTGATTGGTCCCGAGGATGTGCTGGTTGGCGTCAACGTTCTTACAGTGGTAGTGAGCAATCTGATGTCTTCTATGTAAGTTCTACTCGTTCTCTACGTTAAATATCTTCAATGTTTCCTTGATTTGGTCAGCTAGTTAAGCTGACTTGTAAAATCGTTCCCCTAATTTTGAGTTATTCACTGAGTCCTGAACCGTCGTAATCCAAAATTCATTTGTGGTCAAATATAACGTAGTGAAAATGTACTACAGAGATAAGGTTGTTGGTATCTTGATTGTGTACCTCAAAGTCAATATCTGCAAAGTCCGAGTCATCCAACTACGTCCAAAGTCGTCACTGCATACCGTGCCTGAGATGAGGACGTCTCTATAATTGCTATGGATACAGATACTCGAAGACAACTGCGATACCATATACAATAGTTCAACTCGTTTCTAGCCCTCCAGCCACTCAAAAAGACAAATCTTGGTAAGAAGATTGATTGAAAAAAAAAATTGAGATGTATATCTAAGTTAATTCAATTATTATTAACTGCAGAGCTTCATCAACCGAATAACTGTCACTGAGCATAAAATCAGTACAAGGACAATAAATTTAGAATCAAATAACTAATTACGACTGAAATGCACTGAAGTTAGTTTAACTGAAACAACCTCAAATCGATATATAAAATAAGGATTTTTTTCATCATACGATGTCTGGATAAATGGTATCCCCAACAGTAATTTACTCAACAGCTAGCAAAAACAAAAAAAATGAGACTAAGCAGCCTTATTTGATAGCAATTATAATTTAGAATGCATCTGCGAGCTGCTTTCGACGCACAATTTTATAATCCGCTCCCTTGCAAAAGTTCTGTACAATAGTGACAATCTTTCGAGGTATTCCATAGTGTCGAAGATAATTCCACAACGTTTCTCTATTTATATTGTCGAGCGGTTTCTCGTGACAAAGCAAGTCGATGTACTGCAATTCATCCCATTCAGTTGATTGCTCAACAATCATTCACAGTATTACAATTTTGTCGGTACTTGGTAGATCCTTACAAAAGCTAGCTTGTTGATCTCTAAGTTGGTCGTCTACTGAACCTTTGATTTGGTTCAGCTACATTGTTAAGAAATTTTCCTGGTACTGACATTCGTGTGGTTCTCACTCCTTCTAAAACCTTTGTTTAAGATCTTGATGAGCTATACTTCTTTCTAGTCTGTTGATACTTGTTACTCCTCCCATATCTTTCTGAAGAGAGTATGGAATGTCTTTGAAATTACCTGTATATCTGAGTTTAATGCTTCTCCTGTAAGTTGTCTGGTCCTGCCACCATACCATTTCTAATTTGTCTGATGGCCCTACCTGGTGTTGCTTATCCCGACCTTGGTGTTTAGGCGTCTCATCAAGATGGTCGGTTCTTTTTCTGGATATTTTTCTAGGATGGACTGAACCCTCTGATTTAACTGGTCTTTATTATCTTCATTGTTATCGTTAGTAGTGCGTAGCAGCAGGTGAAATTCACTTCAGTCCTATACTTCTTTGTTCTGAAGGATACTTTGATGATCCTGTATTTACGAGTTTCCCATCATACCGGCGCTTCTTGTGCTTTTTTGCTGAGCATCATTACAGTTTCTTGTATATGGAGTGACGTTATCTTCTCCAACGTCTCTCCCGTAGCTTGATTTTTCTTTCTAGATTGTGTCCGATTTCACTTATTCCAAGCAGAACTAGTTTATATTTTTGCATTTCCTCTGCTATTCGGCCCCCAAATGCCCTGGTATGGCCGAGAGTGGGGAGAGTCCGCCATAATATACATAGTGAAAGACCGATATCCTCAGGTACAACATAGAGAACACCAACCCAATCTCACTTGATGGAGAAGCTGTGGAACAGGTGGAAACTCTCACATATCTGAGCAGCAGCATCGATAAACAAGGAGGATGTGATACAGAAGAAGAACTACCAAAACCATCATCAAGAGAGTACAAGTACTTGTAAACAATTGTCTACACAAGATACTCAATGTCCGTTGACTAGGTACCATCAACAACAATCTACTTGTAACACTTTATCCTTGAGCTTCCACAGAGCTAGACGTGTTGAGTGGAGAAGAGCGAGGTTGATTATGAATACAGTGGTCTTGAGTGCTGTTAGAGCTATGAGTGCGGTTATCACTTCACGGTTGCCCACACCGCGGAAGGGTTCTTCTGGAGGTACCTGAAGAGGAAATTGGATTAAAGGTGGTCTGTGACCTGAGAGCGTGACTGCAGTGCTTAACGGACAACTGCTTGAGGTCGGTCACACACGACATTTTTGCGAGTAAGTTTTGTGTTGTCCCCGAATGCCCTGGTATGGCCGAGAGTGAGGAGAGTCCGCTCTCCCTCTCAAAATGCTCTCACATGGACACGCGTATATAGCCCCTGCCAGGGAAGTCCTACTCACTGCCTTCTCGTGGCATGACTGTTGTTTACGAAATTGAGAGGACGAAAAGCGAATTTCCGGCGCTTTAACCGGATCCCAAACCAATGGTGCACATGGGCTGGCTCCAGTATTCTGAGGGAACAAATGACATATGAACCAATCGTTGGCGACCGGCTACCATGAGACTGCATCTCCTTGCGATGCTCCACTGCCTTGTAGATCAGACCTTCGGGTCGAAGGCCCCGGGTGTGGCCTCCTAAGAAAACCACCTGGTTTGGTTTGGGCACCCGGGCAGTATCATAGCCCTCACACATATCGAATGAGATTTGTGTGGTGCATATGTATTTGGTGCCTCCTGGTACCAATATCTGTGTGTTCAAACAAACAATTTGAATGGGCCTTGCGGTTCATCATTTTCATACATCCCACTTTTATATGTCGATTTTCGTCCTGACTGGGAAAGGGGTGTCAGCCTCCTGGTTTTTGAAGACTATCGACCTTCACCACGAGACGTCATGCTTCTTCGATGTAGAGAGTCCACTCAACCCTCAGAGTAGGGTTCAATTGTTGATTTTTCTGGTCAGCCATTTCATGGTAGGGTTCCTTTTTTTACGAGTTGTCGTTGGTAACCCTATTTTCAGCCATCCTTTACCCGTGCTTGGGATTTGAAGTAGCTATAAAGGGGCTCCAGGTGGATTTACGCAACTCACATCAACACAGAAAAATCAACTCTGTCTTTCTTCATTTAACTCCCTTAAATGTTCAATGACTTCGCATATCCACTTATTTTCTCTTCAAATTGATTGTTTTCCTTATAATTACTTTGACTGCTTTCAAGAGGTTTAACAACATGAATAGATATTATGGTTCTCTGTTTTATCAATATACATGACTGAATACCCTTGGTAGTGTACTCAGTGTTAGTTATTTCCGTAATTAGACGAACATGCGATCGTATTTTACTTTCGACACTTATCACTGACTCAGCTCAACATTGATGTGACCTTTTTTGACTACTGATCGATCAATATTGTTATCCTTGTGGGGAGTGCGACTGTTACTCCTTTACTGATTTGTTGTATTTCCTAATATTTGTTGAGAGTTTGCGAAGATTATGTGGCTCGGTGGTATTACGGGAAGTGTTCGAATAGGATGAATGTATAAGAAAAGTCGTACTCTTTAAGTTCCACTGACACACACCGCCTTCACTGGGACACCTATATTATAGAATCAGATGCAACCAAGCATATTATGTGGTTAAGTATGATAGGTAAAACGTCATATATATTCGTATCCCTGTTTTTCTCATACCACAGAAATTTTTTCCATTTGTTCACCACTATTTTTTATATGTAAATAACGACGCATTTTCTATTGGTAATTGAAATTATAGTGAAACGTTTTCATATTAAGCTGCCTCGGTTAACCGTTTCTCTCTACATTAACAAATTTGTTTAGTATAACCACTCCAATCACCGAGGTCGTGGTAATGGACACCCATCCAATGAAGTTGATGGAAATACGGGACGTGGACGTGGTCGAGGGCGTGGTTCAGGTCGTCAAGGCTTGACACATCGAGAACCTGTTGGTGGTCAATCACAAACTTCAGGCAGTAATGCTTGTCGACCTGCCAGTTGTTTAGTTGATACTCCTGGAGGGCAATTAGTTGTAAGTTGTCACCTATTCAGGTAACATTTTTTTACTCCTGTATAATTTTTGATCAATTTTATTAACCGTGTTATTGAAACCGTTCCTCATTCAATTTAGTCAAAATAACTTGCTGACTGAATTTCCCTTGTTGAAGAAGTCCTACAAATCCTAGATAGAATTCTAACACTTTCTTATTAGTACTTTGGGTTTGTGGATGGTTGGACGACGAGATCTCAGGCATGTTCGTCAATGTTATATCGGTGCACTGTAATTAATTAGTAGTTTCTCGATCTCTATCCTTATCATTTCGCAGTTGGATAAAAGGCTTAGTCTGCCGTTGAAAAAGTTCTTTTTATAAGTTAAGCGAAAGTAGATATAGTTGTTCCGGCTGACGTTTACCTCTTAAATTATTTTTGCTTAAACAATCACCAAATAAAAGAATACTAAACGGTTGTCTTTATCCGCTACCACCAGTATGAACCTTCATCAAAGTTCATTATAAATCTTTATTCGTAATTTCAGTTTAGCGACTCAACATTCTCGTTGCGTACTTAACTTTCTGCTTCAGGGAATGTCTGCACTTTTTACAAAATTTTCTCCGACGACTAACTTATTGAAGTGTCTGATACTTTCAAGCTCTCGACTACTTATGGTCGATCTGTAAAGTGATCTAGGCTGTACCTAGACCTGCGAATTCGCATCATGTTGTGTGCCAACATATTGTCAACAACTGTCAGGTCCCTCAATGCGAAATTCCAGGTGTAGGCAGCCGGGACTTGTCAATTACTCACATGCCAACATCAACCGGTCTAATATTTCCTTGAATAAAATCTTTATTCCTCATATTTCCTCTATTTTTAATATCAACCGTCCCCTGGTCTGATTTCTTTTTCATGCGCAACCAGTACCAGCAATCCGATCTTGTAGAATCCTATCCCTCATATATTGGGATCGCCATCCAAACTTTATGTTGGGAAGATCTAAATGTCTGGACCGTTTGTCAGATTCGACAACAAGCTTAGAATCTCACATGAGTTCCTGTTGACAATCGCTTGTTTGTTATCGGATTAAATGGTACAGCAAGAACTCAGAAAGATAGTATACATCCCATTGATCGCAGCTTAGATAAAGTGAAATACAATTTCTATCGGAAACTTTCTGACATCTTGAAAGCTACACTTTCAAGTGTAGCAACTTTGGCGAGTAATTTTAACTCCTGTGTTGGTAGGTTAAGTCAAACTAAAAAACATTTATATGAAACTATCAACATTCCTGGCCGGATAACAGGGAAAGTTTAGTACAACTACTCTCAGACAATTGTATTTGCTTAGCTAGTAGTAATCGCAGGAAAATTGAAAGATGTCGTATAGTTTGGAGACTGACGCAACCAGAGCGACAGAAATAGATGAATCTCGTTTCTAATAGCCATCGTCTAAAAGACTGGACTCAAAAATCCCACTCTTTCTGAAACATGTGTTGACGCCGATCACTACTGTATGAACTCGTTTTTCTCTACCATGTTGAACACAGGACAAATCCAAGAATAGTATCTTTCTGAACTCAGGCCTGTAATGAAAAGGTCAAAGGTGTACTTGAAATAGAACTAACTGAGCACTTAGTCTATCATGTAGACAATGTTCATCCTGAGGTAGTCTGACAGTTTTCAATTGGAATGCAGGGATAATTCGTAACCTGTCCATTGTTGCAAGTTGATTTTTTGTAAAAGGATATTTTCGTTGATTGATCATGTTTTCCTTAATAATGCATTCAGGAAGAATAGATTTAACTCCTTTATAGCGTCAAGGATAACTGCGATGATAGTCGCTTAAGTGACGTAAATTTTATCAGGCATCCATTCTGTCCTTCATCAGGGTTTAATACATGGGTATACTTAACAGTGTTCAACTGTAACTGTATTTGTTGACTTTAAAGTTGCATTCGACTCCGTTTATGGACACAGTTTGTGTCAACAACTGTTATTAAAAGACATTAAAGTAAATAAACCTTCTGATGACTCTTTAACCGACCACTACTGGTTATATCTAAGCCAATGATAAGTTGTCATCTGAACTAGCTACTCCATGTTGTTCATCAAGATTGTTCACTCTCTTCATTTTGTTCTGTTTGTGCACTTGGCTTCTTTACTTCATTGGTCCGTCTTTCAATGATAGACATTACTGTAAAACCTGTCGATAAACGGAGTTGTAACTAATATCGAGCATAGGTAAAGTATACATTTATATCCAAACCCTGATGAAGGATAGCATGGATGCTTACCTCTGTATTCCGATTGAAAACTAGTTTGTTAACTGTAGCGTAATAATTTGATGTTATTTAGCCTCTTAGTTGAATAAAAGAATTTCAATTTGTGTGACGAATTTTTGCAAGCATCTCTTGTATACCATTACTCATAGGCCGCCAAATGCCCTGGTACGGCCGAGAGTGGGGAGAGTCCGCTCTCCCTCTCGAAATGCTCTCACATAGCCATGCGTATATAGCCTCTGCCACAGAAGTCCTACTCACTGCCTTCTCGTGGCATTACTGTTGTTTACAAAAATGAGAGGACGAAAAGCGAATGTCCGGCGCTTTAACCGGACCCCAAACCAATGGTGCACATGGGCTCCAGTATCCTGCCTGAAGGAACAAATGGCGTATGAACCAATCGTTGGTCACCGGCTACCATGGGACTGCATCTCCTTACGATGCTCCACTGCCTTGTGGGTCAGACGTTCAGGTCAAAGGCTCGGGGTGTGGCCCCCTAAGAAAACCACCTGCTTCGGTTTGGGCACCCGGTCAGTATCACAGCCCTCACACAAATCAATTGAGATTTGTGTGGCGCATATGTATTTGGTGCCTCCCTGTACCTATACTTATGTGTTAAAATAAATAAATAAATAAATAAATTACTCATAGACGTATTTTATTTAAAGTATTGATTAGCTATTAAATAACAACAATTGAGCTTTGTTATCATTTTTATTGTGTTACAATTATTGTATACCCATTAAAAAGTCACTTCATTCATAAGTCTATACTTGGCTAATTCTAATCATATTCTGGTCATGTTGAACTTTTGCTGACTTTATCTCTCTTTGTTCGAATTTATTTGTTTTTTTTGTACACTAATCACAGATTGATAGTTTCTACATCTTATATACCATTCTTAGTTTTTAAGGCTGTCTATCATGTATACACTACAAATCTTTCTGATTAACATATCTGAAGGTTACTAATGTTCCATTTATTCTGAACAAATACTAGAGTAATTCCTCAAGTTTAGGGATGTCTTTGTGTGAACAGTAAAAGCTTGTGCACAGTTCTAACTTATCATGTCCGCTTATTCATTGCTCTTACTCTTCTCAAAAATTTTTTTTTCGAATCTCATTCTTGCGTAATCAACCTGTTTTAATGGTCTGATTACTTAATTTTGTTTCCACTTGTCTTTTCAATTTGCACGCGAGACCAAAAGTTCTGGGTTCGATTCCCGTTTTCAGGTCGTGGATGCTCACTCCTAAGGAGTCCTGTACTAGGACGAAACAGCCGTTTAGCGCTTCCAGGTTTTAAATGGTCCTCTGACATTGATCGGTTCATTATTTCAGTAAAACTCAACAATCTCCGCAACCCTATACGGATATACATTTATCATTATTATTTTTACAAACAGTTATATTCAGTTGTTTAATTGCAAACTTTTGCAATTCCTATTCTTATTCTTACACAACAATTTATAATCATCAACTGATTATGTAGCCTTGTTTTCTGATCTGTTGAGTCACTAACTGAATACTATCTTTAGATGAAACATGAAGGTATACCGTTAAATCAAAACACTACCATTCGCAATTTGACATCAGTTTTATGCATAATTGTCCTATAACGAAGAATTATTAGGGAAGAAATATTTCTTCCAACAACTTGTAGTTTTAAATTGTCAGTTAATTTTTGATGATGATAATGATGATCGTCCCTCAGCATGACCCAGTTGTTTTGTCAGTAAGTAAAATATACTTTGCTTATCAATCAAATTGATACAGTGTGATTTATGTTAAGAATTTCCCAATAGCATTATTTCCATGGTAAAACTGTTTTGTATTTTTGTTGAGAATAATTATTTTCAGAAGTTCTGTGAAGATTTTAGTGATTTCAATAGTTGGAATCAAGAGTCAATTGAAGCTAGACGACCATGGAAAAACTGGAAGCACTGGACGGCCATTTCGTCCTAGTATGGGCCTCTTCAGCAGTGCGCATCCACGATCCCCCGTGCGAGATTCTAAGCCAGGACCTATCAGTTTCGCATGCGAGCGCTTAATCAACTAGACCACTGAGCCGGCATCCAACGGTGTTAATGCCATGCTAAGACGAAACGGCCGTCCAGTGCTTCCAGGTTTTCCATGGTGATCTAGCTTCAATTAACTCATGATTCCAACTTTTGAAGTTACTAAAATCTCCACAAAACCCCTTCTGAATATAATCATCTGCTCACTAGTGACACTTCATGATGCATTTCCTGGAGTTCTAGTGAGAAGCCGTGACCAGTGGAGTTCAATTAAGTATGTTGTGAGATATTAACTCACTGAAAACAAGGGTGGACGGTGTCACAATTTCGTGGATTGTTTGAAGTTAAACATTAACACCGTTGGTCTAATAATTATTTTATCAATGAATTTCATGTAGAATAATCAAATCTTATCCGATATATCATCATAGGGTAATAGAAAATGTACAATGAACTGCTTCAGTATATCAGCGGTTAAGTGTCAACATATTACGAATGAAAATAACTCCAAATCAGTGTGAACGTTTATTGATTGTTTTATTGAGTTTATTTTTTTACTTTACTTTGTTTCCTTTTGTAATTCAAGAAAAATTCTCATTGAATACAAAGAATTAATAATTATTGAGCGTTTTTTGTCACGAACGAATTTCTACATTGGGTACAAAAAACTTCTAGTTATAACAAACTGGCTAATTAAAATCTGTTATAGTTTATTGTTCAGTTCAATCAATTTGTATTATTCTAAAATGTTTGACCAGCCGAACTAAGTCAGTAAACAGGATAGACAAACAAAGAATAAGAAAGACTCTATAGGGAGTGTTGTATTATCAAGAATATCAAACAGTAATATGTTCAATATGTATGAAACCATATCGTATCATCAATCTGATTTCTTTCAGCATTATAAAATCTGACACAATATGACTCTAAGAGGAGTGGAGCGGCTAATAAGTAATTGAAAACTAAGGTTTCAGGCATCATATGATTAAAATCCCAATGCATTCTCAACAACATTTCCACTTTCTAGCCAAAAATATGTATAAAGTGCTTTGAACAGTAATTATTTGTTATTCATATTTGTTTATGGTCAGTCCTGCTCCTAAAACATCTCTTACTATCACATAATACATCTCAATATATATATGATGGATGTGAAGGATCCACATAGGGGAGTCCTGCTTCGATTTGGACACCTGGGCAGTATCACAGCCCTCACACAAATCGAATGAAATTTGTGTGGCGCATATGTATTTGATGCCTCCTTGTACCAATTTCTATGTGTTCAAATAAAATAAAATACATAGGGGAGTTGGAAAACCCTGGTTCCAAATCAATGGTTCATATGGGCTCCAGTGTCTTGAAGGAACAAATGGCGGATGAACCAATTATTGGTCATCGGTTGCCATGGGACTGCATCTCCTTACGTTGTTCCATTGCCTCGTGGAATAAACCTATAGGTCGAAGGCTTCGGGTGTGGCATCCTTAGAAAACCACCTGTTTCAGTCTGGACACTTGGGCAGTATCCTAGAACTCACATAAATCGAATGATTAATGTGGCGAATATCTGTTTGGTGCCTCTTTGTATCAATGTTTATGCGTTTAAATTAATAAATAATCCTGATAACAGTTAAATGTGGCAAGAGTCGTTATTAATTTTCTATTTAACCGGTTTATAGGTCTTAACATTTTAGAGCTATGGAAATTTTCACTAACAACTAGGTTCATTTCTCCTCAATTTACTTCTAGTGGAACTTCGTTAAATTTTTTTATTTTAGGTTTATTCTTGAAAGACAATATGTTAAAAGAGAACTATCAGTCGAACTTTCATCTTTTTTCTCTCTTGTATTTTGTTTTACTAAGCAACAAACCAAAAATGGGAGGATTTACTCCAAATCGTTTTGTAGTGATCCACCGCCTGGTTTCGACTTACCAATTCATGATAAACCTACTGGTGAGTCATCATCTTCAATAACTTGTCAAAAAGAAGACGTTTTCATTGATAATAATGATTCAGTGCCTATACATCATTGTCATCTTGTGGATGATGATTCTTCAAAGAGTTCTACACAAATGAATTCTAAACAATCTATTATACATCCTTGTAATTGGTATTATATTGATCTATTTACATGTACTCAAGGTCCATTTACAAATCAACAAATGAGTACATGGCTTGCTGGTGGTTATTTACCATTAGCTTTAAAAATACGTCGTGATTGTGATGAATGTTTTCTTAGTTTAGGTAAGTAATTATACAATGTACATAAGTCTCAGTGATTAACTATTATTCATATTTACATTACACTATATTTATAGTATCAAAAATAAAATTTATACTTTCTCAAAAAGTTGATTCATAAAGTTAATATCATGTTCTACTACTATTTATAACTGAAGTACATTGTTCAATCTCTAGTCTGGAATATTCACTTCATCTTGACATTCATCAGTCAAGTTCGTAGTACTATCTATGTATTATCCAAAAATCAATATTTATATTATTAAGATTTCAAAATTCAATATTTTATTTTTATTTATTCATTTGAACACATAAATATTGGTTTAAAAAGGCATCGAATACATATGCACTACACAAGTCACTTGATTTGTGTGTGGGCTGTGATATTATCCAGTTACCAAGACCGAAACAGATGGTTTTCTTAGGGGGCCACACCCGGAGACTTCGACCTAAAGGTCTGATCTACAAGGAAGTGGTGCAACGTAAGGAGATGCAGTCCCATGGTAGCCGGTGACCAATAATTGGTTCATACGCGGTTTGTTCCCTCAGGATCATGAAACCCATGTGCACCATTGATTTGGAACCAGAGTTTTCCTACTCTTCTATGTGAATCCTCCATATCCGCCAACCGGGTTAGAGCACTGAATATTCGCTTTTTGTCCTCTCAATTTCGTAAACAACAGTAATGCTGCAAGAAAGCAATGAATAGGACTTCCATGGTAGTGGCTGTATTCGCCTGGCCATATGAAAGCATTTTGAGAGGGAGAGCGGACTCTCCCGTACCAAGGCATTTTGGGGTAATAAATTATACTTGTTAGAATAATTACGATATTTCAAGTCAAAAGATAGTTATTGAGTCTATGTGGATATGATTTGTACTGATGAGTAATTGTGTCAATATTTTTCGGGTCTATCAACAAATCCACACCGGACAGCAGTTGCTGATAGATAAGCTTTCATTGTCATCTAATTTTGATCACAGTGGAAACATTATCTTTGAAGCAAATTTGTATATCCGTGGTTTAATCATTAAAGGGAATAATAATGTTTCCTTTTAGTTTATGTATCCGTGACTGTATTCTTTCTATACTGTTTAAAGTATATTGTTTAAGCAATTTGGAGTTTGAAATAAATTGGTTACGAAGACGTTGATTTCCGTAAGATTTAAGGGTATTACTATTGGTCAATACATTTTTAGCGCCCATTGACTCCATTATGTTGATTAAGTCATTAATAATATAGACGAAATATAAATCCTAATTACGGTCGTATGTGTTGTATGAACAAATTCCGATAATAACAATGTGTATGTAAAACGTCGAATAAATGTATCTCGGATATTTTTGTTTCATACATTCGTTTTGATGAATAAAGGAAGAGATGAGTAGGGAGATGCTAGATCTGTTTACCCAAAATATTATTCATTACAAACTTTAATATGACTCAAAATAAACAATACAAAGTGCAACAAAGAGATAGGGATTGAATCAAATAATTAATGCACGTCACACACACACAAGTGCACATATGACATACAGTGTCGAATCCTGAGCACATAGTTATAAGAAGTTAGATGGTGGTTGGAGGTAGTCGACAGGAAACCCTGGACCCGGGTTTCGTGCTACTTGGCACTCGCCAGCAAGGTGTACCTGTAATCGTTGAGGGAACTGGTGCTCCCTGACGGATTCGATCTCGTGTCACCCAGCTTCACAGTCAGAGACGTTACCACTGAGCTATCCGGGCCGCGACCGACCTCCTGTAGGACTGAGATGTAATCACAATTGATTGATCACTGGGTGACCAATGTCATGCGTGTCTAGTCCTTATTATTAGTGCAGATCGAATGCTATCGATCATGTTGCAATGTGGCCACCAGTCTAGGTGACTCGACACCGCTGGGCACTATTGTAAGGTTAGATGGTGATTGGAGGTGGTCGACAGCGGTGTCGAGTCACCTAGACTGGTGGCCACATTGCAACATGATCGATAGCATTCGATCTGCACTAATAATAAGGACTAGACACGCATGACATTGGTCACCCAGTGATCAATCAATTGTGAGTTATAAGAAGTATATATCGTGAAGGTCACTATTTCCTATATAAAAAATGGGGTTTAGGATGGTAAAAAAATGGCCCAGTAGTCAAATTCTGTCAGTAATCTAGGTTTGTCCAGAATCACATAGGCGTTCAATAAGCTGCCACTCATTCATTTGAAAGTCTAATTTCATTCTTCGCAGACCGACATGAATATCTTTAACTATTTAGGAAATCACATCATCTCAACCATTTGACTCAGCTCATATAACAATATGCTTTAAACACTATAGATACAACACAATCACAGACGAATATTTTTGAGAAAACGCACAAAACCGTGTCCATCCCATAATCTTTCCACTGATGACCAAATCAACCAAAAATTTCACTCCTATTGTATTTAAATGTAGGTTTCAAGATATCACGATGAATCCCAGAAATTCTCTGTGAGCAGATCCTATTCAGTATAAATTTATCACTGTTCCTTCACTCATTTTTTACAAATCCGTGATTCAGCAATGTGACACCATCACTCCAACACGAGTTTTGATTTATTCAACCTGATATACTGAAATACGACACCGACCAGTACATCAACCTTGACATGATTACTAAAGTGTCTTTTGTTTCCACAGGATCACTCACATCAGACAGGTCCCAACACCTTTCTACAAATACCGAGGTACAATAATGTATGCTTAGAAATAGTCCAAGGAGTATCACAATGTGGAAACGCCACATTCATTGTCTTAATCATGATTTACGCACGTTATCCCGCTGGTTTTCATAGCACTTATGATCCGCCGATTTTGAAAGGTATAAGTTGCTAGTAATGTAAAATAACTATTGGATGAAAATCTCTTCACTGTTTAGGGTTTCTTGGGTAGAATCCGGTGGTATGATAATATCATACAATGCAGTTGTTTAGAATGCTACCTGGCCTGGTGACTGGTAATGACTAGTCCTTGTTTCCTTATTCGAATAGATATTTTCCCTAAATACATTTTCTTCTACACGATTAGGTCTGAATAGAAAGAAAGAATGACATGTGTATCATTTCAAGTTATTATGCTCTTATTATTATTATTTATTTTAACACATAGGTATTGGTACAAGGAGGCACCAAATACATATGCGCCACACGAATCTCAATTGATTTGTGTGAGGGCTGTGATACTGTCCGGGTGCCCAAACCGAAGCAGGTGGTTTACTTAGGGGGCCACACCCCGAGCCTTCGACCTGGACGTCTGACCCACAAGGCAGTGGAGCATCGTGAGGAGATGCAGTCCCATGGTAGCCGGTGACCAACGATTGGTTCATACGCCATTTGTTCCTTCAGGCAGGATACTGGAGCCCATGTGCACCATTGGTTTGGGGTCCGGTTAAAGCGCAGGAAATTCGCTTTTCGTCCTCTCATTTTTGTAAACAACAGTCATGCCACGAGAAGGCAGTGAGTAGGACTTCTGTGGCAGAGGCTATATACGCATGGCCATGTGAGAGCATTTCGAGAGGGAGAGCGGACTCTCCCCACTCTCGGCCGTACCAGGGCATTTGGGGGCTCTTAACCACTAGTGTTATTACTTAAGATAGGTCATATAAATCGGTATCCTATAAATCATTTTGTCAGTTTGTCTTTTTCAACATGAATTTATTCTTGTGGAATCCTGTTTCTTTGAAATAATATTTTCTACATTATAACCCAAAGTTCCAATGTTCACGTTAATCTTGTCAGCAAATCAAATCACCTGATGAAATTTACTCAAAAATATTACGTATTACATTCACAAAATGTTTTGAGTAGTCATATGAATTAATTCATGCTATAATATGCTTATTCTTTGGTGAATAATACTTTCATTCACTGACTTTATAATTGTTATCCCACTTCATCTATATGTCGGTTTAAGCTGTTAACAATGTTTGTGCTTCGTCAAAACTGGATACATTAATCTGTACTTGAAAGAATAATTGACATTAATTTGATACTTTTGTACACATACATGAACGTACAAATAATTGTTTTATCAATATGATGGATAGTAGTTGTATCTAAAACTATAATTGATATGATAGAAATTGTTGGGGACGATAGAATTCAATTGATATACTCATTATAAGTTTTATTCAACATTACTTCTCTTATGATCCAATGTATTGATTACTCAATGTAGTACTTGTTTTGTATTCCCGGTATGATATTTTATTCTGTATAATATACGATATTCTTGTATTCCATTGACTATGAACTATACTCATATATGTGATTTCATTCTAATTATTGATCATAATGAGTGTACAATCAATATCTAAACCAATGTATTATAGACTAGGATAGATCATCACTATCATTATTATCATTATCGTCGTCGTCATAGTGTTTCAGGGCTAATAAATCTTCACTTATACTAGTCTTTGTGTTCTTACTTTCGCGCCGTGGGAAATGTAGAGGTCCCTCGTTCCAAGTATAAGTGATAAGCGTTTCCGACATAACAATCAGCGACGACCAGATAAATAAGTAGCATTCAATTGACAAGTTATAACAATAATAAATATATAGACATTATTCAACCTGACCTGGTGTGTTTAAATGGGAAATAAATCTTTATCTACTGTCTTCCTGAATCTCCTCTCTCTCTGTATGTGTTGCTTTGAGCTACATTTCATCCATATATGTGTGTATATATGGATCAATATTTTTAGCTCTCGTTCATATTGTATGTATTACCTACATTGATTCTAAATTTGTTTGTTAATTTTCTATAAAATACAATTGTATTTCTGCACAGTTTCACGCTTCTCAATGGTCTTATTTTACTCATTTCTTTTTTTTTTAATATTTAAAGCTGATCATATGAATTTAGCTGGACGCATTCCATTTTGGACTGGCTACAATCAACCACCTATTACACATGCAAATTTATCAACACTTTCTGGATTAAACTATAATAATAATAGTAATCAGGTATTAACTCATTCAACTATTATCACCAACCAAATATCCTCCTCAACTCCACCAGGTATTACAAACAGTAAAACAGATTGCGTAACTTCACTTTCACAATCCACACTAACAACATTTGATGAAGATACAACTCAGGTAAACTATTACTTACTACTATCACTACGTTTTTATGTAGTATATTTAGTTGGTTAATTATTATTTCTGATTGACAATTTATTAACGTGTATCATTCATAGCATTGTAAGCCCCTAAATGCTCTGGTACGGCCGAGAGTGGGGAGAGTCAGTTCTCCCACTCGAAGTGCTCTCACATGGCCGTGTGCATACAACCACTGTTAGGGAAGTCCTACTCACCGCCTTCTCGCGGCATTAATACTGTTTACGAAATTGTATGGAGGAAAAGAGAATGTCCGGCACACAAACCGGGTAGGTGGACACGGTGAGTCCACCCTGGGGAAGTTGGACAACCCTGATTCCAAACCGATCGTACACACAGGCTCCAGGATGGTGAGGGAACAGATGGCGTGCGGACCAATTATTGATCGCCGGCCACCGTGAGGCTGCATCTCCTTAGGTTGCTCCGCTGCCTCGTGGATTAGACCTTCAGGTCGAAGGCTCCGGGAGTGGCCTTTGTAAGAAAACCACCTGCCTCGGTTCGGGCACCTGGATAGTATCCCAGCACTCACACGTATCGAATGATTTATGTGGAGCATATGAATTCGGTGCCTCCTTGTGCCAATGTTTATATGTTTAAATAAATAAATTGTAAGCAATAGACTTTTTAAAAAGTAATGTGTTGCGGCCCACTAACATCAAGCAGATATAAAGAGCAGTTCAATTTGCCTGAGAAAATGCAGACAATAACCATGAAGATTACAGATAAGGTGAATAATTGAATATAAGTATTAAAAAAAGAGAAAAGTACGGAATAGTATCTATTTTGAAATATCGAATAGCAAATACATCTTCAGCATTTCTATCATTTCGAGTCATCATTCTCAAGTTAATCAATCATAGGTGGTTAAAGTTATCTCTCAGACGTCAGTCTGAAAGTTTATTATTAGCTATATCCAATATTATATTTTTGATACAATATAGAATTCTCAGCACGAAGTATTTCAGCAAGTTTTCATTTCTTCTTTCTTCACCGATCCTGACGATAAATGTTGAATGATCACCAGTTAGATGTTAGCAGTTCAGGGAATCGACATCTGAATAATGTATATTCTCTTCGACGCAGATTGCTAGCAACCACGATGTGTCTGATTGGGCTCTCTTATAACTTGTACAGCGAAATATCGTAGACTTCTCACAAACGCAGCTGAATGGGTTATGAGACTAATAGGTATAGTGATGTGTTAAAACAAACAAAAAAACAGATAACTTGTTGAAATTTCCAGATGGCAAGAACAGGTAGCCCAGATATTTAAGCAGGTCGCCACGTCCATACACACGTAAAGCTGAAAGTTAACGACTTGATGGATTAATGCCGTACTATATTCCAAAAACTTTTAACCTGCTCTGCTAGACAGTAGAGCATAACATTGTTGGCTTGTATTTGTAATATATGTCTGTGTCCATATTGCTAATACAATACAGTAAACAGATGCGGGCCAGTCGATTTCAATCAGTATATAATCATTTTCCACCAATTCTTACTTGTTCGTACTTTGTTCTTCATGACTAGAATACAACAGCATGTATACGGAATACAATCTTTTCTGTTCTGTTTGTGTCCAGTGGGTTTCTCTAATTCCTAAAACCGCCAAGTTGTATCTCCTCATTTCTGTCGCCACTTGACCAGTCCTCCTGGTCGCCCACATTTCGGACACTCCATATACCTATACTAATTGATGCTAGAAGGGTCGTCATCTTCATGACTTCCGAAGAATATTGACTTTCGCCATGAGGCATCATTATTCTCCGTAAAGTTTAAATTATTTATCCTGGTTAGCATTTTTTAGCAAAGTTATTAAATTAGTTAAAATCTCAGCATTATAGACGATTTTTTTAATGACTATTTCATTGACAATATGATCTGAGCAAATATATCTTTAGTATTAGAAGGGGTTTTGTGAAAATTGTAGTAATTTCAATAGTTGAGATCATTAGTCAATTGAAACTAGATCATCATGGAAAACCTGAAAGCACTGGATTGCCGTCCCGTCCTATTGTGGGACTCCTAAGCAGTGCGCACCCACGACCTCGCCCCGTGGGGTTCGAACCCGGGACCTGTCAGTCTCGCGCCAGGCGCTTAACTAACTAGACCACTGAACTGGCCGGCATCATACGGTGTTAATGTTACACTAGGACGAAACGACTGTCCAGTGCTTCCAGGTTTTCCATGGTGGTCTAGTTTCAATTGACTCATGATCTCAACTGTTGAAATTACTACAATCTCCACAAAACCCTTTCTGATTATAATCATCTGCTCACTAGTGACTGGCTTCAAGAGGTATATCCTGGAATTCTAGTGAGAAGCCGTGACCAGTGGAGTTTAACCGGGTCTGTTGTGAGATGGTAACTCACTGATAACAATGATGGATGTGTCACTCAATTTCGTGGATTGTTTGAAGTTAGACATTAACACCGTTGGATGCCGGCCAGCTCAATGGTCTAGAGGTTAAGCGTTCGCGCACGAGACTGGTAGGTCCCGGGTTCGTGGATGCGCACTGCCGAGAAGTCCCAAAATAGGACAAAACGGCTGTTCAGTGATTCCAGGTTTTCCATAGTGGTCTAGTTCCAATTGACTAATGATCTCAACTGTTGAAATATATTTTTATTGTTTAGGTGAAATTCACTATGATTTTTAACTTTAATTTTTAGCTTCAAAACAAGGGAGACGTTAGTGTTTCTGATGGTGATAAAACTCAGGTAAAAATCGATAATGATTCAATATCATCACATATATCAACACTATCATCAAACACTATATCGTCTCCTATAACTGAATATTCAGAATCACAAATAATCAATAATTCATCTTCATTTAATGGAATGAATGAAAAAGCATTATTAGATTTATATAATGAAGCTAAAAATATTGCATTACATACATCTAAAATTGAAGCAGAACGTTTAATATTAGCCAATAAATTAGCTGAAATTAATAGTACTACAGCTAAATTATTATCAAATTTACGTCCAACACAATTAAGTTCTACATTAACTGAATCATTAATTCGAACAACAAATGCTGTACAAACTGAATTAGCACGTATACTAGAACCATGTATTAATGGTGATAATAATAGTACTTCTAGTCAAATTAATAATAATAATAATAATACTCTTGCTAATACTTTCTCTAATACTATTGACGATAGTCATCCCGATGATGGTAATAATAATAATAATAATAATAATAATAATATTAAAACTGATGATGACGTAATTCCACCCATTCTAAATGATTATAGTAATAGTACAAATGTTGTTTCATCAACAAAATGTTCAACATTATCATCTTTAGGAATAGAACTTACTGAATCATTATCTACTTTAAAAATACTTGATAATATTCATTATAATGAAATTTCTATAGATAGAAAATTAAATACAAATGATATAGATATTGATAATGAGTTTCCCTTAGATTCAACAATTAACAATCATGAACGCAATCATACTAGTCAACATATGAATAATGATGCATATATTGGTAACAACAATGTTGTTGATAATGATAATGATGATGATGATGATGCTAATGATAAAAAGTATCAACAAGTTGAATCAATTCCTGAACGTGAAATTACCATACCATTGACTTCAACTAGTTATAATCATGAACAGGAAACACCAACAACTACAAAGAAATCTAGACGTAAAAATAAAAAAGCTAATAAAAAGTAAGAATAATTATTTTTTTTTATTATAAACTAAGATTAATATTGAATGTCTTCATTTGTTTTATCTTCAATGCATCGGTGACTTAGACAGTGGTTAAGGCATGTGTCTTCCAGTCACTACATCACAAGTTCAAACCCTGTATTATGTACTTCAGTTTGAGCAATCAAGAGTAGCATCATCCTTTATACAAATCTGTACCTTATAATTAAGTTGGTATTGAGTACTGAACAAACTTATAATCGACCAATTTTGTTCTCTAAATGAGTAATGTAAGATTTTCGGATAGAAGGAATGTCGACAGTAAAACTCATTTGTATGATTTATCCTTAACAATATGAAGTGAATCTATTCTTTCAACACTTAAACCTTCATACATAAAATAAAACACATACTGTTGAGTTTAATCACTCTGTTTGGTAACGAAATTGCAGTTTTTAGCTATTCGAGTTGTTATATTATGTGTTCCAGACTATCTGTTTCTTATATTATATATCCTGATGTAATTGAACAATCACATTAATCGCATCCTAAATAATCAGGTTGTTATCCTCATATTATTTTAATGAATATTTTATTTGGCTGGCAGTATGCGAACGTTTCGTCTAATTTGAAACTCGTGCACTGGGTGTACCCGGTACATCCCTGTATTTATGTCTATATCAGGACTCTAACTCAATACCTTTCACTTCAAACACTAATACATTATCCACTGAGCTACTGAATCCACTAACTTGTTCAACGAGTATGAAGGTATTAGTAAGCATTTGTAATTTAAAATTTCAATTCATTGGTCTCTATTGCTAGTTAGTTCATGTTGGTGACCACTGACTAACTTTTTTCTCATGCACCACCGATGCTAGCAATTTGAATCCATGAAATTATTTCCTGTACGTTTGAAACTACGCTCTAAACTATATGTTGGAACTTTCAATCCCCCTAATGCCCTGGTACAGCCAAGCGTGGAGACAGTCTGCTCTCACATGGCCACGCGTATTCAACCACTGCCAGGGAAGTCCTACTCATTGCCTTCTCGTAGCAAGGGCGTTGTTTACGAAATTGAGAGGACGAAAAGCGAATATCTGGCGCTCTAACCGGGTTGGTGGATACGGAGTATCTCCCGACGTTGCTCCACTGCCTTGTGGATTAGACCTTTATGTCGAAGACTCCGGATGTGGTCCCCTAAGAAAACCACGTGCATCCGGCAGTATCCCATCCTTCACATAAATCAAGTGACTTGTTTGGTGCGTATGTATTCGATGCCCCTTTGTACTAATATTTATGCGTTCAAATAATAAATAAATAAACAATCCTCAAACCTTATGCCAAATAGGCCGACAGATTTCTCTAGTGATGAAGTGTGTAAACGCAACGAAAAATACTGTTCAACTGAGCTGATTCAATCCCCCCCTCAATGATTTCTGATTCATGCAATAACTATTAAAAAGACAAGAAAAAGAGGTTTATACCGTCTCTAATCAATATGGGTGTTGATAGAATTGTTTATTTTACTTTTGAAGGTCAATCATTCATGATGTGAGTTTCATAGAGCTTAACTCAACCTCTGATGCACAATTTATGAATACAAATGGTGATATTTTTTTTAAAATCTTTATTTGTAACTAGTCGGAGTCGAATTTTCGGAAAACATTATCCTTACTTTTGAAAAAAAATAGTTAAATTCTCGATATATATTATTTCCCATCACATCAAAGTTCATGCTTATGAACTAGCAGGCTTTATGCACATACAATAATAATAATTTCACTAATATATAAACCCTAAATGTGACGGATTCAGTCACATATGTGATCAAATGTGCGCAAACTTCTATTGAATGGCGATCATAAACTCCGTGGTTTTAAGTAAGCCAGTGATTAAATAGGTTTATGTTATTTATCTATAACTATTTGGTTGTAGTTTAAAATGCTACTTCATCTGTTTTAGTTTTGGGGCAGCCTATTATAGAATATATCTCTAGTGAGTTTCTATGATATCCAAGTACACAAACTACAATCGATTGGTCAATGAGTAGAAATGATCCGTGGACTTGCCAACTGACGAGTGCCAACTAACGTACTACTAACATCCTAACATCTTAGCATATTAGACAGAATGTTTAGTTACTTAAGCTAGTAGTCACATTGCAACTTGATCAACAGAATTCGGTCACCACTAAAGGATTGAATAATCATGACACTAGTTACACCATTAATCAATCGATTGTGAATATCTCCATTCTTCTGGATGTGAGTCTCAGTCTAGATAGCTCAGTAATATCTCAGACTGAATCCTACAGGAATCATTTCTCTCGAAATTCTAGATACAACTTAATGACCAGTGTCAACTAAAATGTGGCTTAGGTCCAGGGTTTCCAGTCAAATACATCCAATCATTTCTAATTACTGAGTTACTTTGCCAATATTTTTATACCTAATGAAAGAAGTTACCAGAATTAAATAATATCATATTTAAACATATATAGATTAACACCAGACGAAGTACGTCAATTAGCTTGGGAGTCAGAATTCAATCGTCGTAAAGCTGCCGCATTAGAACAATCATTAGCTGAAGAAGCAAGATTAAAGAAATTGGCCGAAGAAGAGGCAATTGCTATAGCTGCAGAAAAAGCTTTAGCTGTACAAGAGAAAAATCGCCTTCTTGCTGAACAGCGTAAACGTGAAATATCACGTCTGAAAGCAGATAGTGAATTGGCTCAGTTAAAGTTGCCTGAATCCGCACGATGGGCGACAGCTGCTACTAGTAATACAAATATCACAAACAGGACTGCCCCAATAGATTTACGTTCTATTCAAGCTTCTCAAGCCGCTGAAGAGGTGAGTATTAGGTTATGGTTTTATGACCTCGTTAATTTGTAGTTGTAAACCAATAGCTCATCTTTTTACAGAACAACAAAAAAACCACATGCACATACGTTTAGATGTTGTGTGTTTTAACGATTTTTTCTCAAAATCCATGATATTTCTTCTAGTTTAATATATGCATCCTTGCCCTTTCGGCTTCAAGCATCCAACTTTCTAGGTTCGAACCCTGTGCCCCCTACTTCGTTTTGAGTTAACAGGTAGTATCACTGGTGCCTCTCACCCAAGTACCTGGTGAATGGATTAATTTGTTATATTATTTGGCATTAGAATATGAGGTGTTTAAATTTCTTGACTACCCTATTAGCTTTGCAGGTTACATTAGGTCGAATGGCCTTTTTCGAAGTTACCATACGAAGAACTTGTCTTACTGTTTTGACTGATGACACCTTTATCCCATAGCAATATATCCAAATGCTTATTGAGAAGAACGTATACCATTGAACGATTGGTTCTGTATATAAGACAACATGATTGAAAACCGAACATATGTGGATTACTGTACGTTCGACCTTCTTATCTATCTTAAGGACATCTTGTATATTTTTATGGCTATCACTTGAACGGCTGTGACTCACTCAATGGTAGACTTTAGGAAAAAATTGATTATCGTCTAATTGAAGCGATCACAGATTAATTTCAACTGGGTTACCACTTAAAACGAGGAAACGTTAACCATCTGTCTCGTCGTAGTATGGGACTAGTTCTACTAAAAAGCAGTGACCAGTGGAATCGGACGTCACTAAAATATCATCAATCACAATAGATGGTATACGCCCAATATCGTAAACTGACTGAAGTTCGAAATGTGGACCATTAGATACTAATAAATAGTGATCTACTAGTTGAATGATCACCTTGAGGCGCAAAGGTCCTGGGTCCGGTCCCTGATGGGATTGTGAACTCTGATTACTGAGTAGTCTCATACTAGGATGAAATAACTGTACAGTGCTTGCCCGTTTTTTACGGTTGTCCAGCTAAAGTGATCCCGTGGTGTGAAAATACATGAATACATTTATTGTTATGTAAGATCATGTACAAGAATAAACAGAACAGTATGCTCTATATAGTTACACTACATGATCTGTAGATTATCTATCAGTTTTTTTCTGCTTAACGTGAAAGAAGACCTAAGTAACAAACGCTCATTCTTACAACTTAATGTCACCAATCATTTTGAATCTTTATGTGCTCGTGTAAATATCAACTTCCAAAATCTACGTTTACACTTCTACATGGTTATACATAACCAAACTGTGTGTTGGCACGCAATAATAAGCTGACGAAATACTGTGGAGTGGTGTCTAAGTGATTAAGGCATTCACCTTCCAATCACTTTGGGGTTTAAACCACGCTCCACCTACTTCAGTTTCAGCAACCGAGTAGTATTACTAACCGTCACACAAGGAGCGTGTCTCATACTTAAATACCTAGCGAATGAGTCAATTTATTAGTATTATAAAATACGGTTAAAATGATCAACTTCTAATATCCGTTAAAACATGCTAAAAAGAACCTCGTTTCTGATGTATATTTTCTATTACAAAATTAATGAGGATAAAAATAACAATTTTATTTTGACGAAATAATAGCAATCACCATAATATAAGCAAAGATAGATAGTGGCTAACAGTATAATCCAAGACGCTCATTTCGTCCTATTTGGTTCTCGTCAGCTGGATGTACCTGCATCTCAGAGTTGACATTCACTCTAGGACTCGAACCCAGTACCGTTCGCTTCAAACGCCATCACACTATCCATTTAACTACTAAGTCCTGATAGCCATTTGCTTGTGCAATCGAGTGAAGTTTAAATTCACCTGGTATTGTTTTACTTGAATGTTTCCATTGATCTCTTTAGGACTAAAATTTATCAATCACTTATCGGCATATGTACATACTGCCTCGATATTACCTTAATTCAAAAGCATTATAAGCAAGAACGAAACGCGCATCCTGAATTCTACTGCTAGCCACTATTCATCTTTGCTTTTAATTCTTGTGAATTAAGATAATATAGCGGCAATATGCACATATGCCAATAATTGATTGAACAAATTTCAATCCTAAACATCCATGGGAAAATTCAAGTAAACAATAAATTACTATCAATATAGTTCATTACATTTGTAACTACAGTATTTAACCATTGATATCATGTAAAATAATACCTTTTATAAAGGTATGTTCATCATTTTGTTAAACATTAAATGGTTACTTAGTGTCGATTACTCAAGGACAATAGGTTTTAATTATAGTGTTACCATGTTTGTTTGTTTTTTTAATGTAAATATCATATGATTATTATTTTTTTTGTAAAGAAAGGTCAAGGTGATAAATAATTTAGACGTGAAATATCTTTATTCAGTCCCTCTTCTTCTTTTATTCTGTTCCTACATTAATTATCATGTTTAAACAGGATAAACAAGGTTAATCAATCAATAATAATACTAAATATAGTCTATACCATTCCAATTGAATATTCATACTACATTTACTTGATCATATCTATTTCATCAAACTACTTTTTTATGATTATTATTGGCTGAGATCATGAGTCAATTGAAGTTAAACTATCATGTAAAACATGAAAGCACTGAATGGCCGTTTCGTCCTAGTATGAGACTCCTCAGTAGTGCATATCCATGATCTCACCCCCCGCGAGATTCAAACCCCGGGACCTATCAGTCTGGTGCGCGAGTGATTTAACCACTAGAATTTTTTTCTTTTCAAAACTGATGATTTTCATAATTACATTAAATTTACAACTATTAAAATTACTATGATATCCACATAAACCCCTTTTGATATTAATCAATGTATGCTCTGTAGTGACTAGCTTCAAGAGGTATTTCCTGAAGTTCTAATGAGAAGCAGTGACCGGTGAAGTTCAACTGGGTCTGGGTAGTAACTCTCGGAAGACGATGAAGGATGTGTCGATTAGTTTCGTGGATTAGTTGAAGTTAGACATTAACACTGTTCGATGCCGGCTCAGTTGTATAGTCTTTAAGCGTTCGCGCGCGTGACTGATAGGTCGTTGGTTCGAATCTCGCGGGGTGGGATCGTGGATATGCACTGCTGAGAAGCCCAGTACTAAGATGAAACTGCCTTCCATTGTTTCCATGTTTTCCATAGTGGTCTAGCTTCAGTTGACTCATGATCTCAACCGTTACAATTACTATAATATTCACAAAACCCCTTCTGGTATAAATCTACACTAAATTGATTACAGATTTAAAGCAATTAGTCCCATTTATAAATTTCGTTAGAGCAATTAGAAAACAATCTGTTCATATAAAAATGCCCTGACAAGTGTATATATCTGACCAGACTGTTCTTAATGGATAGCGCAAATATATCACATTGGCGAGACTCTAATTTAGGGACGACCTTTGAACGAATTTTGAGTGACCTTGAGAATATTAGCCAATCAGAAGGCACCTAGTGTAACGTAGAAATATATTAGAAGATGGATTACAGTGAATATACTTCTTTTACATGATTTAAAAACTTATCAATGTTTGCTAAAATTTCAGATGTTTTGAAATCATATTGCATACGGTATAAAAAGTCATAAATTCCAAGTACCTGTCGAGTATATTTACGGAAACGCTACTTACACAATCCTACTTTATACTACGTCCCCTGTTGTATTTTCGCTTTCTCACTGCCGTTTTATCTGTCTGCACGATACATCCTACTCCTCCGAATGATTGGTGTACAAGTGTTATTTTAGTTGCACGGCAGTACTCATACCACTGGACTGCTGAATTTTCATAAACAACTGCAAACGCCGCAGCCAGTGTTACTGGTGTATTTATTACCCAATTTGCAACTATTATCATAATCTGATTCAGTTTCAGTAGCAATCGAGCAAAGAAAGTCCCCTTCTAGCAGACTTTCTCATCCAACATGAAGGACAACGAAATATAATCTCACCACGGTTATTTGCACACTTTACTGCAGTCATTTGATAACCGCAGCCTCACGTACAAGAACTTTTTAGTAATCCCATCCCTTGTAGCCTCTCAATAATCACCCTTCTCTAAAATCCGCTGTAAACCGATCATACGTGAGCATCAGGTGTTAAACTTGGCTCCGTGACCTTGAAACAGCTCACACGCTTCTGATTGGCTCGTCCCTAAATTAGAGTCTCGCCAAAGTAATAAATTATCATCCGATAGATTGATGTCTGTGTGTCCTGGACATGATTCGTCATTATCTTAGTATTGTAACACCAAAATTATTTGGTTGTCTTGTAAACAAATACTTCAAATTTCAAATTGATTGATCAATGGGTGGTGATCATTGTTATGTATGTCAGGTCCTTCTTAGTGCAGATCAAATCCTATCGACCAAGTTGCAAAGTGACCACTAGTTTAGGTGACTCGACATTGTTTGCACTATGTGATAGTGGTGCATGGACCACTCAGTAATCAATCAATTGGAAATAAATCTTAGTCCTACAGGAGGTCAGTCACAGCCCGGTTAGCTCAGTGGTAACACTTCTGTCTATGAAGCTAGTTGACACGAGGTCGAATCTGTCAGGGAGCATCGGTTCCCACAAGATTGCAAGTAAACCTTGCTGACGAGTGCTAAATAGCATGAAACTCAAGTCCAATGTTTCTCATTGACTACCCCCAACTATCATCTTACTTCAAATTTCATTTTTATATCATAACAGTTAATGTGTATTTTTGTTCAGATATTGTTTCATAGTCAAATACATTCAGAATATATGACATTTACAATTAACTTCATTAATGTGATGAATATCTAAAATGTTTTGAGTACTTTATTCTGTTACGTAATCATTGTTATTATCAGATTGGTTTTTTTTATTTTCTCTACATGGTATAAATAAAACTCGTAATATAGCGGACGAGAACTCAGTTAAGGGTAACCATACATTATTGGTATATCTTCCTTCAGTTGTCCTTTACATTGTTGTTTATACAATTGCTATCTGTTTCTCTTCCTGTTCTCTTCAATCAGTTTTCTCAATATTGTGCTAGTAGTTATTCTACTTCTGATTACAGCTACATACTACTAATATTTGTCAGTATAATTAGCATATGCCACAGTAGTTGGTATCTATAGATTATTAACGATACTTCCACCCTGACTTAATGACCTAATATAATGAAAATGGAATGTATTTTTAAAAAAACTTTGCTAAATTTATTGGTACATGGATAGCAACTAAATAATATTGAGAATCTGTATTTAATTAATGTATACATCTTTAATCAAACAATCAATTATACACAAAGTACAACCTTACACACACACACACAAAGAAAACTATATCATTGGAAGTTATCATATATCATATCTAGCGCAAGATGAAAAGCAAAAGTGTTGATATAAAACAGTAATGAAATGAAATATTCAACATGATACATATTTGTATCCAAAGGAATAGGTGTGTAATGTAAAGTGATGTTGTTAAGTTCAAAATCTCAAAAGAAGATACATTATGATTACATTTACTCAATTATTGACTTACTTTAGGTCTACATATCTCTTCATACATGGTTTAGATAAACAATTGATAAATTTAATATATAGATTCTATACATGAAATTAGTAGATCATTTGAAACCTATTTGAATGTTTATATTCTTTCAATACTTGTTGTTTATTATCACTTGTGGTCTTGTGCCCCTATCAATGTATAACGTAATGATACATCCAATTAGAGAAACAGTGATTTATCAACCGGAACAATGATTCATAAAAGCGTACGAATAATCTCGAGTTCTTATCTGTCCTTCTTCTAGCCTAACCCTGCCTGTTAGAGTTCAGAACACTAATCTCAGCCTCCGCGATATGAATCATGTATTTCAAGCAAACTGGGTTTATATTACCAACCAAACAGACCATATCATACTATAAAATAGGAAACAATATTTGTGCAAGATCTAGCCGAAAGTGGTTGTGAATATTAAAGACTGTAATTAATAGACTAAGCATAACTCAGGAACAGTAAATCGTATAATAATAGTATATAGGTCAAAATAAAGCTTATAATAAAAAGAATATAAATATGCATAGTTTAGCTATTTAGTAATTATACAATAGAAATATATGCAATGTATTGACCCATAAATAGTTCTCAAAAGTCACCATTCATAGTTCTCGTTGAGATATAACAGAAATGTTTATTTTTCTTTCAAAATAAATCAATATTCTAAAACTGCCTAATTTATCAAATTGATTATCACACATTCTAACTATTTCTATTCAAGAAATTTGTTCATGAAATCTATTTGAGAAAAAAGCCATCATCTTGATTTGATTTCTATCAAATAATGTTATACTAGATGTACGAAAGTAAATCGTGAGGTGGGATTATAGATGTGCACTGCTGAAGGGTCCCACAATAGGAAGAAATGATCATCCAGTGCTTTGAGGTTTTCCATGATGATCTAGCTTCAATTGACTCATGATTTGAACTATTGAAACAGTATCTGCCTAAGAAATCAACTATTGAAATTAAAATAATTCCAATACTAAAAACTATGGTTATCAATAATAGTAATAAGTAATTCTTCCTTCCTATACTATTTCCTTACATACAATCTTTCTTTTATGTATTACTATCATTAAATTAACTATTTCTATGAAATTGGTATTTATTTTGTTGTGCTAATAAGTGAGATGTGGCAACTTGGATCGATGCATATATGTGCCTAGTACTATTATTGTAGCTGACTGGCTGAATATTAATAAGACTTTTACATTCATTATAATCACATTATTGTTTTTTTTTTAGAGGAATAAAAACAAAGCCAATGTAGTCTACAATTCATCTTTCATATTATATAACATACTATATGAATATGCAGATAATTCTATTGTATATATTCGACTTTTTTTTCTATTCCTGTGAAGTGAATGAGTTCTTTACGACTATTGAATCATAACCTCTTCTAAATGTTCTTGCATTCAATCAGAACTATGTTAACTTTAGGTTTAAACACAACAAGGATCTAAATATTCTGTTGTGGAGGTGATTACATATATTCATATATCGTTGGTCATTCCGGTTTTTAAAAAAAAACGATATTTCAAATATTGTTTTTCTTCTACTCTTTCCTGATCTTGATTTGTTCTATCAAAATAGTTTTATTAGTCTGTTCAGTAGAGAGACCATGTATTTTGGACATCTTTATACATTTGCTTTTGAGATTTGTCTGTTGTTGTATATTACTTAGTTTTCTTAGATAAGTGTTATGATCGTAGAGTTGAAAAGCGTGCTTTGGGCTAAACGGTAGTACAACGTGATGTTGACCTTACGAGTTAGTACACAAAGAAAAGAATCTTGATACACATTGGGTTCCAAACTCTCTTCTAACATGTTAATTTATATATATAATGGACCTGTATACTTATAAGCCCCCAAATGCCCTGGTACGGCCGAGAGTGGGGAGAGTCCGCTCTCCCTCTCGAAATGCTCTCACATGGCCATGCGTATATAGCCTCTGCCACAGAAGTCCTACTCACTGCCTTCTCGTGGCATGACTGTTGTTTACGAAAATGAGAGGACGAAAAGCGAATGTCCGACGCTTTAACCGGATCCCAAACCAATGGTGCACATGGGCTCCAGTATCCTGCCTGAAGGAACAAATGGCGTATGAACTAATCGTTGGTCACCGGCTGCCATGAGACTGAATCTCCTTACGATGCTCCACTGCCTTGTGTATCAGACGTTCAAGTTGAAGGCTTCTGGTGTGCCCCCCTAAGAAAACCACCTGGTTTGGTTTGGTCACCCGTACAGTATCACAGCCCTCACACAAATCAATTGAGATTCGTGTGGCGCATATGTATTTGGTGCCTCCCTGCACCTATACTTATGTGTTAAAATAAATAAATAATGTATACTTATAAACGAATTTTCAGAGCAACTATACATTGACCTATAGTTTGCACTTATTACCTTTGATAATTTCAAAATCATATAAATGATGTGTGTATCTTTTCAGGAATTTGTCACTTTACAATCATAAATTGACTAAGTGTTTGTTTTTTTTTTTCATTTTGAAGTTGTTCAAACTTATCTTACACCTTTCATGATATCTATATTTATCTTTTCTTTTTAAGGCTAAAAGAAAATATCATGATGCATTAATGTCTGAACAAGTTGCTGTGTTGATAGCAGCTGAATCAGCTTCTCCATCAACAAAAACTCCACTTTCATGGTCTCAAATTGCTAAATCTGATACGACATCTTTAACACCTATAAATTCATGTATATCGAAGAATGATAAAATAACTGAACGTTCTAAGTGTGTAAGTTGTAAATTATCCTTTACTTTTCTTGGTTTCTAATTTATTATATACATTTGTCGAAATGGAGAATTCTTTGTATTTATATCTCATAAACTGATTCCATAATATTTATTTGTATTTATTTATTTGAACACATAAATATTGCTACAAATGGGCACCGAATACATATGCACCACACAAGTCACTTGATTTGTGTGAGCTCTGGTACTGCCCGGGTGCCCTAACCGAAGCAGGTGGTTTTCTTAGGGGGAACACCTGGAGCCTTCAACCTAAAGGTCTAATCCACAAGACAGTGGAACAGTGCCAGGAGATTCAGTCACATGGTAGCCGGTGACCAACAATTGGTTCATACACTATTTGTTCCCGCAGGATCCTAGAGCCCATATGGACCATTGGTTTGGAATCAGGGTTTTCCAACTCCTACGTGAATCTTCCATATCCACAAACCCGGTTAAAGCGACGGACATTCTCTTCTTGTCATTTCAGTTTCATAAACAACAACGCAACGAGTAGGACTTCCCTGGCAGAGGTTACATACGCGTGGCCATGTGAGAGCATTTCGAGAGGGGGAGAGCGGACTGTACCCACTCTCGGCCGTACCAGCGTATTTGGGGGCAGTTATTGCCAATTAATTATGTACTGTTTGCTCTGCCGTCTTCCACTTATGGTATGATTGCGTTTAAAGTATGATTTATTATTCGATTTTGTGTGTAGTGATCGATCATCTTAAGTAGAGTGAAATAGAGAACTAATCTGTTACTTATCTGCATCTTCTGATAGTTAGAAGGAGATCGAATAACAATAAACTTTAAAGTCTTTAGTTGTTGTTCATCAGTCGACGTATCAGTTGATAATAAAAAACAAGATTATCGATCCTACTGACGATATAAATGAACTTATCGATAATCGGAATCTTTATTGGGTGATATATTGCTTATCATAAGTCAAAACATACCTCATTGTTAATATATTCCTACTATTACTTAGCCTTCAACATCTCACGAAGTTCAGATGTTTTATTCTATAGTTCATTTAATTGTGAAACTTTTTCCTACTCTCACTACAGTTATAACTTAACTATTCACGTAACACTCGATATTATCTATCTTTGTGATGAAATATAATCAGCTGTATAAGTTAACTAAAAGAGGATCTCAATGGTTAAGATCATGAGTCAGTTGAAGCTAGACCACCATGGAAAACCTGGAAGCACTGGACGGCCGTTTCTTCCTATTATGGGACTCCTCAGCAGTGCGCACCCACGACCTCACCCCCTGCGAGGTCCGAACCCAGGACCTACTGGTTTCGCGCGCAAGCACCTAACCACTAGACCACTGAGTTGGCCGGCATCCAACGGTGTTAATGTCTAACTTCAACTAATCCACGAAATCGAGCGATACATCCACCATTGTCTTCAGTGAGTTACTATCCCACAACAGACCTGGTTGAACTCCACTGGTCACTACTTCTCACTAGAACTCCAGGATATACCTCTTAAAGCCCGTCACTAGTGAGCATATGTTGATCATTATCAGAAGGGGTTTTGTGGATATTGTAGTAATTTCAATGGTCGTGGATGCGCACTGCCGAGGAGTCCCATAATAGGATGAGACGGCCGTCCAGTGCTTCCAGGTTTTCCAGGGTGGTCTAGCTTCAATTGACTCATGATCTTAACCATTGAAATTACTACACTCTCCACAAAACCCCTTCTGATATTAAAAGGGGATCTTTTACATTAAATACTATTTGTTAGTCAATTTTCTGTTTAATTTTTCACTGAACCTATACATTCACCTAGTTTATGTTATTCATCAATATGGTTTCTTGTGTTCTAGAATGTTGTTATATCATCTAGTAGTAATAATAATAATAATCCAATACACAAATCCATTAGTCATTCATCCAATAGTAATAATACTTCATCTTTAACACAATTGGATTATTTAAAAATCACTTCATCATCAAAAACATCCTTAAATAACAATATAACTTCTGCTGCTACTTCCACCTCTGTCTCATATACATCGAAAGTGAATAATACAATTGTTAAGCCAGTGACTAGTACTACTACTACTACTACAACAAATATACCTTCAATATGGGATCTACCTGTAACAAATAATCTAAATAATACTAACAATGCAACTGGGAAAAAAAGCAATTCAAAGAAGAAAAAAGTAAGTCATATAGTATACACTACAGCAAACTGTATGTATATATATATATATATATATATATATATATATATATATATATATATATATATATATATAATGCTATTCGTGTAGTTGAGTTTGTCTAAACTAGATTGTTCAAGTGTTGAGCTATTATTGTCATTGTAGACAACACATTTAGTGTTTACTTTTGTTATAACGTGTGATCCGCCTATTAGAGAACAGCCTATTATCGATCGAAACAGTGACGCATAAAACACGAGCGAGCAGCCTAGAGTCCTGATTGGTCCTGCTTCCCTGTCTAGCCCAGCCAATTGAGTCCAGAACACAAGTCTCAGCCTCGGAGATATGAATCGTTATATTTCAAACATACACTGTTTATATACCAAACAAACAGACTACATCGTACCATAAAATAGAAAGTAACATTTGTACAAGATTTAACCTTCAGGAAATGACATAAATAAATATTGACCAATAAGGAGATGACACGTTGGAAGAATGTTGACCAATGGGGAAATGACACTACTTCTCATTCAGGAATAGCATTAGATAATTTCTGGGGTATTTTCTGAATACCCCAACAACTTTATATAAACTTTTACACGAATTAACAAAAATTCATCAAGTTGATAGACCGTTATGACCCATAGTAGATTTTACAAACGCTATAACATGTGTTTTATATTGGTTATGTTGAAGTGTTTTCAGTATATTGCTTAAATATTTAGATAATGTCATTAAAGACTAATGATTTTAATCCGAAGATTCGAGAATTATCTCTCAAAAAGAACGAAACAATGGTAACCTATGAATGTTGCATCTTTATACCCCAATATTACTATTGATAGATGGTGAGATTTTATAAAAGTACAGCTGGCAGACTCGTTCGAAGTAAAGACCTGTGTCAAGAAAGGTTGCTTACTCTCATCGTTTCTCTTTCTCCTGGTGATCGACTGAATCATGGAGATGTCAACATCTGAGAGAAAGTATGGGATACAGTGGATAGTTAGGATGCACCTGAACGATCTACACTTCACAGATGATTTGGCTCTTCTATCACACACACACAACAACAACAACAAGAGAAGATGACCAGTGTAGCAGCAACCTCAACAGAAGTAGGTCTCAACGTACACAAAGGGAAAAGCAAGATTCTCCGATACAACACAACATTCACCAATCGAATCACACTTGAACACGGTGGATCTGATGCAGATGTGAAGGTGCGGATCAGCAAAGCAAGAGCAGTATATCTACAATTAAAGAATATCTGAAACTCAAAACAACTGTCTGTTAACAAACACCAAACTCAGGATTTTCAATACAAATGTCAAAACTTAACAACGAAAGCCATCATTCAGAAGATACAAGTGTTGATTAACAATTGTCTATGCGAAATACTTCATATCCGTTGGTCAGACACTATCAACAACAACCTACTGTTGTGGTAGAGAACAAACCGGATTCCAGTGTAGGAAGAAATCAGGAAGAGGTGTTGGAAGTGAATCGGACACATATTGAAGAAAACATTCTACTGCGTTACAAAACAAGTCCTCATATGAAATCCTCAAGACCGAAGGGGGAGAGGTAGACCAAAGAATGAATTACGTCGAGAAATGGAGACAGACATGAGAAGAATGAACAACAAATGAATAGAACTAGAAAGGAAGGCCCAGGATAGAGTGAGTTGGAGAACGCTGTTCAGCAGCCTATTCTCCATTGGGATTAATAGGCGTAAGTAAGAGATTTTATGAACTATTTATCGATTGGACCAATAACGCATAAAATCCGTACAAGCTAGTCTAGAGTTCTTGTCGGTCTTGATTCCCACCGAGCAAAGCCTGTTAGAATCCAGAACACCAATCTCAGCCTCTGCAATATCAATCATTTATTTCAAGCATACTGGGTTGATATACCAACCAGACAGATCATATCGTATCATAATATATGAAGCAACATTTGTACAAGAATTAACCAAATGTGGCTGTGAACAAGGGAGATAGTAACTGATAAACAGGGCATAATTCAAGAATGATAAGTCGTATAATAATAGTTCATGGGTCAAAATAAAGCTTATAATATGAGGAATACGAATATGAATACCTGAGTTATTTAACAATTATACGATAAAAATATACGTATAGTATGTGTTCATAAATGGATCCCAAAAGTTACTATTCATTATTCTCATCGGAATATAACAGTTTCAAATCTTTTGTATCATCTATCTTACTTCGTCAACATTTATGATGAATTTCAACTGAATTATTTCACTTATTTAAGGTGTCAAAATATTGAACTAGGTAGAGGGTCTTAGAGCTAACGTTTTTTAAGGGATCATATATTTGTTAGTGTAAATTGAGCCTGAAAATGACCAGTTTACTATGAATGGTTTATTGCAGTACAAGTTATCTGTAGACGTGTAATGTGCTATTTAGATCTTTTACCGCATAATCGAGTCAATAACATAAACAAACAAAATACATTTGTACAGGGTTTTTTTGACTACTCTAGATAAATGGCAAATCATTCACCGGTACTTCACTCACTGTGCATTCATAATGTAGTTCTTTAAATAAATAATACCATACATACTGTCTAAATGATGATAGTTCTATTGTACTAACCCAATTAACTTACTGCCTTGTGAACAGTACCCAGTAAAATATTCTGTATAAAAAGATCGGTTCAACGGGGTTTTTCTCTTTATTCTTCAATTTAATCACTTTCTTCCTACTGTACTAATGCTACTGATCTTTTTACTTTTTGATTTATCATTCATTAATCCTTTAAATGATTTCATCTTTATTTAGAAAAATCGTGAAGTTTCTTCATTCCCTGCTAAAGAAGAACTTGCCCATTGGTGTGAATCTCAACTGTCTTCCATTCCTTTGTCCGGAATTGATTTGCCTACTTTAGTGGATTTATTATGTGAACTACAAGCTACAGATGAAGTAAGTGTTTGTTACCCCTTTCTTTCTACTTAATTATGTATCAACCTTCTTATCAAGATAGTAACACAAACATTAGTTATTTGTTTGGTTTAGTTAGGGATTGAATTTTAGATCCCCTGAATCACAAATTCAAGCTTTATTCCACTTACTTTAATTTAACGATTCGGTAGGGACCCTTAACTAGTCCGTATTATGGTTTGTATCCAAATACACAAATTTATGCTTATTTACTGAGTTGTATGAAACTATTGAATTCTGAAAATTGTTGTTATATCTCGAAGGTTGATTACTTGATATAACGCGTATAACTGAACACAAGAACGCCAAAACCCTTCCAAGTCGCAAGGAGAAGACAGAAGACTAGTGAAAGGAATATTATTCCAATCAGTGTCAATTATGGGTACAAATTGTTAGGTATTTATACTTTTTAGTACGAACAAAAATCATCATTATAGTCCTCCAATCCGCCTACAGGGGGTTATTAGCCTTGTCCAATCAGGAAGCTACATGTAGGAATTCTAGAATATTCTTCCTAACAGTGATTGGATGAAATATCTTCGGCTCCTTCTGAGCCTCTTATAGCTTCCTCGAGTTTACCCGTGGTCCGTCGTCACAATTGTGAATTTAGGAAATATTATCATGAATGATGTGGTTCAAACTCGGTTCATTACACATTAAAATGCAAATTTATCCTTTCCCTCTATCAGCAAGAAGATGTCTAATCAAAAGGAACTACAAAACAATAGAATATTTTTTTAAGGAATAACATAGAAAATTGTATCATCTCATCTTTGAAACTACTGACATTTCACAAAAGAAACTTTGTAAAAACTCAATTCAATTGAATATTCTTATCGGTTACTGATTCACATACATTTACCTTGGTATGGCCGAGAGTGGGAGAGTCAGCTCTCCCTCTCAAAATCCTCTCACATGGCCATGCATATACAACCATTACCAGAAAAGTCCTACTTACTACCTTCTCGCGGTATTACTGTTGTTTACGAAACTAAGAGGACGAAAAGCGAACATTCGTCGCTTTAACCGGATCCACCTAGAGGAGTTAGAAAACCCGGATTCCCAACCAATGGTGCACATGGGCTCCAGGATCTTCGAGGAACAAATGGTGCATATGAACCAGTTGCTGGTCGCTGGATACCATGGAACTACATCTCCTGACACTGCTCCACTGCCTTGTGGATCAAACCTTGAGGTCGAAGGCTCGGATTATGGCCCCTCTAAGAAAACCACCTGCTTCAGTGGTTATTTATTTGACCTAGATTAATGACTGTCGGTAATCAGTAGTAACATGACAAATTTTGTGATGTATTTCATGAACAATTTACGATAAATTTTAAAGATTGCAATTTCTATATCTAATAATTTGTTTTAACACTACTGAATTCTCTCAAGCATTATAACTAACTACTTGAATCACAGATGAAATCTAAAATGGTACCATTAATAGTATCAATAGATGAGAGCGTTTTTCAATTTAAATAATGACAACCAATAGATCAAAACGAGAACTATGGACATCTAATGTTAAAATTTATAAACATAATAAATATCTGTTTATTGAACACACAAAAAGTAAGGATGAGTGTTATGAACGTCAAGAGAATATCAAATCACTGTATTATGTGATGTCACATTTAATTGAGCTCAAAAATGATCCATAATAGTATATGCTACTGAATATTAGTAAGTAATATAATGTTTATACATACAAATGAAACCGAATGAGGGTGAAATAAATGTAAAAGGGACAATCAAGATTGATAAACTCTGATGGAGTATTCTTCACTAAGCTGGACAACATTTTCAGCACAAAATTCAGGTGAAATGAAGTGTTCGAATTCCTCTACATATGACTAACGGCTTGCCCTGTAGGTCTCGATCTTTATTGATCAAACCATCCAGCTCAGCGAACAAAACTCCACCAAAATCATTCACCTGAGCTATAAATCTCTATTTCAATTGATAAATTCCCCTCAACTTTCTTCTCAACGTACAGGCACTCTTTTGTTTATAACCCTCTAATTGCAGGTCCGGACTTCATCGTACATATTTTGGTTTCGGTAACTAAATAACACAACGTGTCATGACATCTGGGATTATTTAAATCACTTCAGTGTAAACAACCATCATAAGCTACGTCGTCGTCAACGATAACAAATTGGTTGTCTAGTGCTTTCTGATTTCTAGTGAGTCCTCAGGCGTTGGTGTAACTTCGTAAGGAAAATTACTTCCAAGTTATGTCAAGTATAGAAATCCGCATGACATTTAAAAACTTATCTCTAGTTTATAAAAAAGTAAATACTAACTTCTGTTATATCCCTATGAGTTGCGACATTTCTTCTTTAGAAGGAAAATCTCTCTTCCATAGTATATGTGTAATATTCGTCACAGATTGATCTTACTTGGAATATCATTGAAGATCAGAATTTTCTTCTGTAGTAGGTCTCATGACGAGCGTTTAGTTCTTAGGATCACTAGGCTAGTGTGCAACGGCACATATTTTTAACTTCAATCGACTTGGAATCTAATGTAACTATCATCTAATACCATTGATCACGAGTGTTTTACTTCAGACTCGTCTGAACTCCATTAGCCCCATGATTTTTCAATAAGATTTCAGGAACACATCTCGAAGTAAACTATTAGTTAGCTGACTATCATAATTTGGATGACTGAACATCTTAAAGATGGGTTTGACCCCCAAGTAAATATTCATTATGAATTTTATATAATTTTTTTTTTTGTAGATAGTAGAATTTATTGAAAATTCATTGGGACGATCAAAGCGTATATCACAATTCTCCAAAGATTTTTTACAAAAACGTTCATTTCTTCGTCAATAACAAATGATAATTTGTTTACTAGTTAGTAAGTGTGTATATTTATTCAATAGAAAATTTACTAATCTTTATCTGTTCACGTAATAATAATACAAACATTTAACTATTTATGTTTATCACGGATTTAAAAAGGTCGTTTGGCCTTTGCCAACTTACGTCACCTATGATGAAGGCGAGATATCCGTCTATCAATTAAGGGACGAGTATTTATTTATTTATTTATTTTAACATATAGATATTGGTACAAGGAGGCACCAAATACATATGCGCCACACAGATCTCATTTGATATGTGTGAGGGCTGTGATACTGCCCGGGTGCCCAAACCAAACCAGGTGGTTTTCTTAGGGGGGCACACCAGAAGCCTTCAACTTGAACGTCTGATACACAAGGCAGTGGAGCATCGTAAGGAGATTCAGTCTCATGGCAGCCGGTGACCAACGATTGGTTCATACGCCATTTGTTCCTTCAGGCAGGATACTGGAGCCCATGTGCACCATTGGTTTGGGATCCGGTTATAGAGCCGGACATTTGCTTTTCGTCCTCTCATTTTTGTAAACAACACCCCCGCCACGAGAAGGCAGTGAGTAGGACTTCTGTGGCAGAGGCTATATATGCGTGTCCATGTGAGAGCATTTTGAGAGGGAGAGCGGACTCTTCTCACTCCCGGCCATACCAGGGCATTTGGGGGACGAGTATACTGAGCGGCAGTTCGTTGTGTTCTAATTTACGGCTGCTCAACATAGACATTAAGCGTAGTAGATACTCGTAAGCTACTAGTATTTGACCACAGATGCCTTAGAAATATTGCTCGCATCTGCTGTAATCACCGGTAAGTAATATTGAGGTTAGACACAGGGTATTAGGGAATGATGCTAAATCAGTTGATGAGGTTATGAATCTTCATCGACTGAGATGGTTGTACCACGTGTTACGTATGCCTAAACACCGATTACCACAACGTGCAATGCTAACCGGTGTTGGGGATGGTTGGAAGAAAGTTAGGGGCAGCCAATCCAAAAAATGGTATCAGTTTGTAAAGTCACTAACTTTTAGTCTTAGCCATGTTAGTAGATGCAGACCATTTGGTTAGGGTTCACGTGACTATCGTAACTAATGCTTGGAGACTGTGTATGATATGGCTCAGAATCGATCACAATGGCGTAGGCGTATACACTCTCTGTCTTCCCTCAAACCGTGGGATTAAAATCGCTTCATATCTTTCTTTCTACGAACTAATTCTCTCTTCCGGTACTATATCTTTCGTCTTTTTTTTTGCTAATGAGGTATGGTTACTTGAACCGATGTATAGATATGCCTGGTCCTATGTTGTAGTTGACTGGTTTATGTTTATATTTATTTGATGTACTCACAAATAACTATTGTATTTAGTTGATTCTATGATGAATCATTCATAGTAATATAAATCTAAATTAGTACACAATATAACAATCATATGTATATTTATATGATAATGAACTGTTAACTCTCTACATTATGATTATATTCAAGTTAACATAATTCTAACTCTATTAAACTATTGAAAATCAATTTATGCATGAGTAAATTGTATGTAACACAATGTTACCTTCCTGTCCCCACCCCTTCCCTAAATAACAAAAATGTTCACGTTTACTACTTGTTATATTGTATATTTGACTTGGAAAATAAAAACCCCACTCACTTTTGAGATAATACATTCTGTGTTGTTGTTGTTGTTTTATTACAAAAATATGGAACATAATTTTATTGTTCTTAACATGCCATTACCACCATTAATTTAAACAGAAGTATACAACTATTAAAAAATAATCACAACAACAACAACAACCTGAAATGTCTCGATTAAATATTGTAATTTTACATTGTTCAATAGCACAATAATAATCAATAACATATTTGTCTGGTCATTAATGTTGATTTAATTCTATGAACTAAGTTATAATCTAGTCTATGTGATTTGGCATCGTGTACATTGTTTTTATATAGTAGTTGGCCGTTAGTCGATAGGACGACCTATATGACTTCGGTTGCGTTCTAATTAACATTCATCAACATGGTATGCCTAGAATGATAAAGAAACAGATGCTCATTGTTTGATATGTTTTTTTCATCACCTAGCTTCACAGTCTTAGAATTACTTTGTTACTTACTTCTCACCACCCCTCGTAAAGGAGCATAGGTCGCTCACCAACATTCTCTATCCTACGCATTCCTTTCCAGTTTCTGTTCATTCTTTTCATGTTTACTTCCAATTCCAGATTTAATAAGTCCTCATCTTTTCCTTTCGCCTTCGGGATTGCGAATTAGGGCTTGTCTGGCGATGTAGTCTGATGATTTACACAGTTTATGTCCTATCCACCTCCAGTGTGTTTTCTTAATTTCCTCTTCAGATGGAAACTGATTTTCTCTCCCAGAGGAGATTGTTGCTGATGGTTTCCAGTCAACGGACCTCGAGGATCTTGCGTAAACAATTATTTATACATACTTGTACTTTCTTCATGATGGTTGTGGTAGTTCTCCAATAGAAGTGTCTTTACGTTTTTATTGAAAATCCTGATTTTGGTGTTAACTGATAGTTATTTAGAGTTGCATATGTTCTCCAACTGTAGAAATATTGTCCTTACTTTGTCAATCCTCCTTGTTCATCGATGATGATGCTCAGATATGTGAGAGTTTCCACCTGTTCCACAGCTTCTCCATCAAGTGAGATTGGTTTGGCGTTCTCTGTGTTGTACCTGAGGATATCGGTCTTTCACTATGTATATTGTGGCCTACTGCTGCTACACTGACTGTTTTCACCTGGATTTGTTGATGTGTAGGGGATAGAAGAGCTAGGTGATTAACCAAGTCCAAATCGTCTAGTTGTATACAACCCGTCCATTGTATTCCGTGCTTCCCATGAGGTGTGGAGGTCTTCATAATCGAGTAGACCGCCACCAGTATAAAGAGGAACGGTGAGAGTAAGGAACTTTGTCTGACACTGGTCATCACTTGGAATGCATCTGTGATCTGTCCTCCATACACGACTTTTCAGAGTAGTCCATCATAAGAATTGATGAGTCAATTAAAGCCTGTCGACATGTTTTGATAATCTTCTCAGGTACTCCATAGTATTGAGGATGGTCCCATAATGTTCTGCTATTTGCAGTGTCAGGTGCTTTCTCATAGTCAAGGAAGTTGATGAATAGTGCTGAGTTCCATTCAAATGACTGTTCAACAGCGATCCGTATTGTCGTGACTTGGTCGGTAAATGGTCGACTCCTACGAAATCTAGTCTATTGATCTGAAATTTGTATAACATTGATTGTGATCGCTCCTTTACACAGCATCAGAACAAGTCTCTTAGTAACTTTTGAAACGATCTTGATAAAGTAAATCTGTTTAATGTTTGGATCTACGGTTAGGATTAGACATTCGGATTAATTGTATTAGGATTAGTATTGTTCAGAATTTAGTTTTATATCGTAATTTTATTATTAGTATTTCAGATTACAGTTTATAAGTTATTGTTCAACAATAAAGTGAGGAAATGCTCTGTAGGGTTACACTCTCCTTAATTTTAAATACTAACTGTGGTAGTTACTTTCAAAAAACCGTATATTATAGTCTTCTGTATTGTATTATATCAATTTTAAGCCATTTGATAATTAAGTATTGGTAGCTTTTACTTAGCGTTGTGGAGACCCAGTAAACTCGAAAAAAAGCCAAGATAGGCTCTGAAAACATTCCGAAGCATCTTATCCAATCAGCATTCATTAGAAGTTTTTGCCAGAAACATCAAGAAAGTAAATAGTCACTTGTCAGGTTTCTGATTCGATTGTTACTTATACTGCTACTATGTTTAGTAGCATTCCAGAATTTTCTGAAAACCTAAGGACATCTACAACACTAAGAAAAAACCCTAGATTTTCTGTACAAAAAACGAACGTTTCGTGTTCAAGTCGCTGTGTAGTTCTAGCCTAGGATTTACTAGCGTTCAATTAGCAAGACTTATCACTTTCAAAGTAATTTAACCTCTAACATTATTACATCCTAAAATTCATATAATCATATAGTCTATCAACCGAAGGACGTGTTTACTGAGCAGCAGTTCGTTCCGTTCTTCTTTATGGCAGTGAAACATGACCAGTAAGAGTAGAGGATATTCGTAGATTACTAGTATTTGATCATAGGTGTCTTCGAAACATTGCTCTTATATCCCGGGACCACCGAGTAAGTAACTCAGTTGTTATGAAACGGGTACTAGGTAAGGATGGCAAATCAATTGATGAAGTAGTGAAACTTAATCAGTTGAGATGGCTGGGATATGTGTTGCGCATGCCAGACCACCGACTGCCACGACGTGCGATGTTTTGTGGTGTAGGAATAGGTTGGAAGAAAGCTAGGGGCTGCCAGACCAAAACATGGCACAAATTCATGAAGTCAGATATAGACTACTTGGTTGGGAACCGCGAGATGATAGCGACCGATGGTTAGAGACCTTGAATGACATGGCTAAAAATCGTTTGCAATGGCGCAGGTGCATCCACTCTTTATGTTCTCTCAAACTCTAATCTTCTGAATTCTTCATGTCCTTTATTTTCTTTCCAAATCTATTCCACTGGACTATACTCCTTAAATAACATCATCAAACCCTAATGTTCTCTATCACTACTTATACTTTCACTACCTCTACCACTACGGGATTTGAATCGATAACTGAATCTCTGTGCTAATGTGGTATGGCAACTCGAACTGATGTACGTACGTACGAAGTTCCACGTTGTTACCGACTGACTGACTGACTGACATTTTAACTATGATCAATATAAACTATCTTTTCATTAAATATTGTAATGTCTCATCTCTGTAACTAATGTTTGAAATTACAATACCTGTTCATTTTCATTACTATTCCATTTATCACTTTTTTTTTCTAATCAGTTAGTCACACAATAAAAAGTTGTCAACATGCTTCATTGTTACAGTTTGTTTGTTTTTATCTTCCTTTATAGATTCATT